GGAACTAATTTTTTCTTTACCTTTTGATGCCACTCATTTAAATTGAAGAACAGGTTTTAGAGAGTTAAACAACACCCAATCTAATCCCAAATTAATTGCTTTAAGAACTACAACATGATAAAAGTTAAACCGTAGGAGATAACTATAGGAAGAAAACCTCATTATATTCAGGACTAATAATCTGTAATATATATACAGGGCATACAGTTTTTAAATTAGTGTTCTTTAGCCTACTATCTGAATTATGAGTTACAGTAACTGAATTTTTGACAAATTCTTTGTCTCAGCTATAGTCACAGATTGTTTTGCCATTCAGATTTAGTTCACTAGAATTTGGCGTTAAGTAAGGAACCCTGTTAGTCTGCAAATTCTAACATTTAAAGAAAGGAAAATAACATACAAAATATCCTCGTCATGACTTCTGAATGCGCATTCTCTTCCCACTAATAGATTTTTAATCATTTCAGAGTTTGCCCTATTTATAGCTCCATCGAGATTGATAAATGTTATCATTCAGCCTTGTGAAACACAGAGAGGGCACTAATAGGATAAAAGGCATTATGACCATAACAGCACAATTTTTTTACTTATTTGTGTCTTGGCTCGATGTGTTTAAACCTATTGAGGAAAGAATAAAATGACTCATCTGCTGAAATTACTTTACTGTATGTGCTACAAGATCAATCTGCTAATGTGTTGGTCACATGGAAAATCATCAGTCTCTCTTCCTTTACACAGAATAATCTGACACTTAGCTGCTCCGAGAATGCATGTAACTGTTTCGGGGGAGAATGCAACAAAGTGGTTTGTGCGAAGGGTCATCCTAACACCATCCAAGCAAGGGGGTCTCCATGTAAGACGTTTCACATGGCAACTTCAACTGCAAGTTCTAAAATATGCTATAGCACAATACATTTTGATGAAACTGAACCTGCAGTTGGAGTATAAACAAACATACATACAATGTTTTGTCAAGATACACAACAAAATGATAAAAGCTGCAAGTTATGATTGAATTGTAACTCACATCACACCTAGCCAGTAATAGAATGATGGAAGTAGCAGCACCATTGGCCAATGACTGATTTAATCATCATGATAAATGTATTAATATAATACATACGAGTGCACATGTTGATACATACACATATAGAGTTATTTATAAATACAAGTACACACTCATAGATACATTCACAACATGAATACAAGCACAGCAAGTCTAGACACATTCACACATACACACATATACGTGCACACTCGTGACATACACATTCTTTCAGGTAAACTGACAGGCATACAAAAGATGTTGGAGGCCAAATTCAAGGTCATCACAAAATCTAAAAAGGTTCATGCTATGACTACAAAGCAATACCTCTTATCTATGTGGACATGAAGATCTGCCTTAGCCCTCTCCTTCCTAGATTCATACATCAAGATCAGTTGAGTTTTGTGTCAGAATGGGGTGCACAAGAAACCTTACAACACATACCTGCCTTTATCATTAAGAGTATGCATACTCTGCTCTATATTACCAGCACTCCAAATCAAATATGGTATATGTAATTCCCTGAAAAAATATAAGACACAAGTGTTGGGAATAGTACTCACGAACAATATTTAAGCAGACTTGACCTCTGCACATCCCTTTGAATGGAGGCATGACTCCACTGGATCGGAGAATAGCCACGACCGGTTAAAACTTTGACATGCTGTAATTTGGGGGCGCGGATTCTCCAAACAGGGAGCTATTAGAGTAGTGAGGGCATTCTGTGACATGTTTTTCAGGGATATATATTGTGTGGGGTACGGTCCAGGGAAAAGGGGTTATGGTGGACATTTTGTGTGCAGTGCCTTTAGGACTGTGAGAGCACAGCAGGGAGTCAATTGTATTAGTTGGGGATAATGCAATTAAGTTGCAGATAGGGTGGCACTGGACAGGGACATTTGTACTGCACATTCTATTTTAAGGATGACCCCCTTGCAGGGAGAGTCAACACTGTTCTGTATAAATAAGTTCATTCTACCTCCTGCAGACTCATCTAATGTGTGTGGGAAAGTCTATATCACAGCTATAAACCCTGCCATACAGGAGAGAAGGTCTCCAGTAGACATGTGCAATTCGTTTCAGTCCAAATTTAAATTCGGACGAATTTTGGCAATTCGGACATTCGGATGCTTCCGAATGTCTGAATTGCAGCAGTGCCAAATTGCCGAATTGCTGAATTTCCAAAGAACCGAATTTCTGAAGTGCCGAACCGAACCGAATTGCCCCGAAGTTCCAAAGTCTAAGGGTCGAGGTAGGGTTAGGGGTAGAGGTAGGGTTAGGGGTATAGGTAGCGGTAGTTGCAGGCTTGGAGTTAGGGTTAGGACAAGAGGTAGAGGTAGGGAATTGCCAAAGTCTCGAATTCCCAAAGTCCCGAAGTGCTGAAGTGCCGAATTCCCTAAGTCCCGAATTTCGGAAGTGAAAAACCGAACCAAAGTGCCGAATTGCTGAAGTCCCAAATTTCGGAAGTGCCGAACCGAACCAAACCAAATTTGTTGCCCATTCACATCCTTAGTCTCCAGGGCTATATTCTGTGCAGCCTGATAGAAGAGGTCATGTGATCCAGTCAAGCTTCAAAGATTGGGTCTGAACTGCTCCAGAGTCCCTGGTAGCAGAGAGGAATCTGACCTGGCTGTACTCAGTTGGAGTTCTGGAGCTCCGTCACAAGCATGCTGAACGTATTTTGCGCCTACTTGCACTTTCTCGGCAGCCATTCATCGCCATTTAGCTAGTCCATTATAAAAAGATGTGTACCCCTCATTAACCAAACACATGCAACAAAGTGACTTATGATAATCTAAAAACACATGAACTGGGTTACTCACTGAAGGGAACATTGTCATAAACCCACAGTGAGTATAAAGTGAATTTCAAAGTTAAGGCCAAGATGGCTGAATAAGAAAAAATATATATATTTTGGCCATAAAATTTAAATTCACTTTGAATTTCTGTCAATTCCAACTTTAGTAAATAACTCTATGGAGTCAGCCTAATGATGGCATCTGCTGATTACAAATCAGGAATACATCTTTGAGCTAGTTTTAGAACTGAGAAATGCGGAGAAAAGCTGGTCAACTGTACATAATCTGGGTCCATGACATACAAAAGTTTAAAGAATGCTGACCTAAAGAATCCAACATTGCTGTCATACACAAAACTCAGCACACAACCTATTCATGTTCTCAGATTTACATATGCACTACTAGATCTCCCTCTAGTGGCAGAAAAAGTAAATATAAAAGATGGGTGATATATAATGGCTGAATATAACCAATACACATGCATAGGAGAGGCTACTTTTCAATTGTATAGGAGAGCATTGGAATCCTGTCTGTGTACAGTACCCAAATAAAATACAAATAGCAATACATTTTAGATAAACAGGACGTGTGTCAGTTATATATTCCAAAACTATTTGTATGGTAGGACTAACATCACTGTGCAGCTCCGATCACGTGCACTGAGACACACCAACATGCAGACCTTTGTTTAGTAACATTAAATGCACATAACATGTATTTCTAACAAGTTAATGGGGGCATGGAGGACCTGTGCCAGCTACCCCTCTATTGGAAAATAGACTGGGCCACAATAGCTGCCCAGTTGCTAGTCTTTTCTTATGACAAAGAGCAGCCTCTAACTGCTTGCTGTTTCATAAATATGCCCCTACTCGCAGCGTGACAGGTAGAGACAAGATGGAGATTTAACCTCCCTTATTTACTAATCCTACATTTTTCTTTACTTAGTATTAGTAAATTTGTTTGAAAAAAAGCAATGCAAAAAGTAAGGGCATTTTGTAATTTTGGTTGTTTAAGCTCTTTGTAGATAGCTCCCTAAATATTGTGGGATTGCTATAAGGAGATCAGAAAAAAGAAGCTATCTACTAAACAGCTCTCTAATTTGGTACTCTTAAATATGGCAATCCCACAAGGGTACGAATTTAGGGACTTATGTACTAAACAACTGCAAAATGCAGCCACAGGCCATGGCATGTACGGATTATAATTTTATTTGTACGAACGAAATTCCAAAATGATAATAATGACCAAATTTGGGTTTTGACGAAACATCATTTTTTTCTTCTTGCGTGTGTTTGGACAAGCAAGTGAGCAGGGCTGAACCACCACTAGCACTGCACAAGCTTTTTATAGACGTTTTATTCAGCTGCCTGGGGATTCCCAAGTGAGGTTTTTAGGTTAATGTAATGTCATGTAGTCGTGTATGTGTATTTATTTTAGAGCTTGCAGCAAAGCTGCCATTTGAGAGTTTAGTCAGTGCTGTTTAGTAAGTACATACACTGATCAGCCACAACATTAAAACCACTGTCAGATGAAGTGAGTAAAATTGATAATACCGTTACTATGGCACCTGTCAAATGGTGGGATATATTAAGCAGCAAGTGAACAGTCAGTTCTTGAATTTCATGTTTTGGAAGCAGGAAAAATGGTCAAGTGAAGATCTGAGTGACTCTGAGATGGCTAAATAGTGATGGTTAGAGAATCAGAGATGGGTCAGAGAATCTTGTGGTGTGTTCCCAGTATGCAGTAGTTAATACCTACCGGAAGTGGTGCAAAGAAGGGCAACCGGTGAACTGGGGTATAAGGGTAATGGGCACCCAAGGTTCTTTGATGCATGTGGGGAGCGAAGGCAAGTCCATCTGGTCTGATCACACAAAAAATTTACTGCAGCTCAAATTGCTGAAAAACTTAATGAATGCCATAATAGAAAGGTGTCATTGGGAAAAGGCAATTTGATGCATATGGTGCTGCATAGCTGCAGACCGGTCAGAGTGCCCATGATGACCCTTGTCCACCGCCAAATCTGTCAATGAGCATGTGAGCATCAGAACTGGACCATGGGGAGGGGCGGGGCCATGCAGCCAAGCAGCCCAGACGTGTTTGGAGAGAGCTCCCATGTCTGGGGACAGAATACTGGGAATTAAACCCACAAATTGTTACCCACAAGCCGCAGACCAAGAGATCCACAACCGGGAGGGGCTGCTGCACAGAACGGTACCTCTCCCAAGCACTGGACTAGCAGACCGAACATATCGAGGCCTGCGGCCTACTCGCAACCGAGCCACGAGGAGACGGCCGCTCCACGGGCACGAGAGCAGGGAACGAACTCCCGGGGAAAAGTCTCCCGCCTCCCCCCCCAGGACCGGTGGGGGTCATCCCGGTCCACACACTAGAGTGGATAATACTTAACCAAGCGCTGCACTTAGGCGCGCGGGGGACAAGAGAGAGCCACGAGGCCCGATCAAAATGGCTGACGGCATCATCACCCACACACAGCCACAGACCCCCAGCGACTGGGAGGCTGCCTCTAATGCAAGGTTCGAAGCCATGTGGGAGCAGTTCTGGGCTAAGCTAGCATATAAACACCGGCTGCCTCAGCCACTAAATCTCGGGAAGAAACCCAGAACACCCACGGCAAGACAACTAGCCAGGGCCGTGCACCCTGAGCAGCCCTCGACCGGGACAAGTATACCGGCTACACGCCAGCAACAAGCCATCGCACCCGAGAGGCGTGCACCCACTGTTGCCCATCGGAGCTCGGACAAGCATAGAGGTGTCGGCAAAACCCCCGTGAGGAGGAAAAGCGGGAGGAGCAGACCCCAACAAGCCCGGTGCATTGGCACCCGAAGGTGGACGGGTCTACGCGGCTCGCAATACCGAGCACACCTACGAGAATACGCACCGCAGTCCGCTCAACAAGACCAGGGACATGCACGCAGACAAGCCGGGAGGCCAGCTCAAGCGGCTGCTCGCAGCTGGGACTGTACAGCCGCAAGACAGGAGACAGCTATTGCACGGAATGCCTCTGAATGCTCCCAGACCTATGCTGTAAGCCTGCCGACCTCTGGTATAGGGTGAATGGGGACACTTGTAACAAGCTGGCATACTGATATTATGCCTACTGTCCCTGATTATCCATTAGGGGTTCGATTGTCTTCTGTCTTGCTGTCCCCTTTCCCCCTTTTAGTCCCCATAGAATAGTTATCACCAACGAAGTTATATTTGTTTTGTATCAGAGGAAAGTTAATACCTACCGATGCATGCTACTACAATCACTTACGTTCACTTAAGAGACACTGTTTTGATTAGTCTAGCATACTCTAACGGCTGCCCTGCTGAAGTATCAACGATAGCCTAGCATGTTGCTTGCCTTATTAGCCTAGCTAGCTACTAGCCTAGTTACTAGCCTAGCATGTTTTTGCAAACACAAATATGTCTCCCTATCGATGAGAATACTCACCTGCATAACCCTGTGTACATATTTTCTTTATGTGATCCACATATTACTAGCATGTTACCTCTACTAATATAATCGGTGTAAATCTTCTTAACCAAGCTTGTCTAAAATATAAAACTGTGCTTGTTACTTCTATGCCCCGCATGTTAAGCGAGGAAATGCCTGAGGATTGCTTTTGGGGCACCTCAGAACCACATGTACCACTCTTATGCACTGAAAAAAAAAAGAATTAAAAAAAAAAAAAAAGCACTGGACCATGGATCAATGTAAGAAGGTTGCCTGGTCTGCTAATCACATTTTCTTTTAGGTCAGGTGGATGTGTGTTGTTTACCTGTGGAAGATATGGCAGCAGGATGCACTATGGGAAGAAAGCAGGCTGGCAGAGGCAGTGTTATGCTCTGAGCAGTGTTCTGCTGGGAAACTTTGGGTCCTGGCATTCATATGGATGCTGCTTTGACACATACCTCCTACCTAGAGATTGTTGACGACCACGTACACCCCTGATGGCAGCGGCCTCTTTCAGCAGGATAATGCACCTTGCCACACTGCAAACATTGTTCAGGAATGGTTTAAGGAACATGACAAAGCATTCAAGGCGTGACCTCGGCGCATCAGAGCTGTTTTGGCAGTATGAGGGGGACCTACATGATTTTAGGCAGGTGGTTTTAATATTGTGGATGATCAGTGCATTTAATATTTTTTAATACAGTGTTTAATACTACAGTGTAGGTACTATATTATTTCAGCTTTAAGCAAGAGAGACTCCAACTGCTTTATTATAGCATGAACCTATTGTAACCGGCTTACATTTTTTGGACATATTTTTGGACTAATATGCGTAACTTTTACTAGGAATTGCAACATTGTGTCACTAGTATTAACTACTGTACAAACTACAGATTTTATAGCTTTTAATGCTCTTTCTGAGTGTTTTATGCATACTTAGTATATTTAGGTCATAAGAGAACCTTCCGTTCTTTTTTTATTTTTCTCTTTTTTTCCTCTCCCTCCTAGGCATCACACCTGGTTTAGAACAAGGATCAATTTCCCTGAAATATTAAAGCGTGTCATTTTTTTCCATCTTTGGGTGAAGGCCTGAGATACCGGTAAAGTGCAATGCATAGGATCATTCTCTGAATTTAATTGAGTTTTCTTGTTTCTTTTGTATTTATTCACTTTTATTTATTCATTTACTTTCCCCTTCCTATTTTCTCCATAGTTTCCCTCTCCATTCTTGGAACTTAGTGTTCTATTTTCAGATACTTTTTGCCAATTTTGCCGCAATCAGTGTATTTAGTTTTATTAAGCGTTTTAACCAAAAGTGCACTGACAGCTTGGCCTGAAAACCAATATGGCAATTCCAAGGATTTTTTCTTTTTTTCTTTATGACAGCACTGAATCTGGGTCCAGGTGTTTAGTAAGCAACCTAGTATCAACAAGACTAGTGACATAAAGACTTATTTACTAAAATAATAATAATAAGGTCAAAAAAAGTTGAATTGGAAAAACCCTCTAAGTCATCTATGTTTTCAGTTCGGCTGCTCTGGACTTAAATTTTAAATTCTCTTTGAATTCACTGGACTTACATTTTAAATTCTCTGTTTTAAATTTACATTTTCAAATAATTTTTAATTCTCTTGAATGCACTTTTTCTTTAGTGGATAACCATGACAGCCAAAGCAGGGGATATACACCACGTTACCAATTCTCAAAGCAGGTAGGAATTACTGCCATTGTAATGATGAGACCCAGTTCCACCTATCAAGCTGGATAAAAGCCAATCACCTATTAACTGCTGCAGAATTTTTAACACTTCTGCCTCGTACGATTGCCTGTGAAAGCACAGTATAATAGACATGCGGGCAACTCGTTTTCATATGCAACAAATACATGAAATTCCTCTTAATCTCCACAGGTATATCACGGACGGATATATTAAATAGGGCACAGATTAACATAATTAATTTAATTTGTTTGTCACAGCTGAAAAGGATTTGTGCTTAAATTAGTAACTTAGGACAACTATACTAAATGAAAAATGCTCAGTTATCAATGTATGTCACATACTCTGATTTTGTATACTGGCAACTTGGCCACCGATGTGTGGTCACATGAATGCTATAACCAAAGGATTTTTTCAATACTTCAGCACTACATTAACCATTTGTGTAAACAAGTCACCCCCTCCCCCAACATTATAGAAAAATAGCTATGCCCCGAGCAACGGTGAGCAGAAAATACAATTAGTTCTCTGAAAGCACAATTTTCTCCAAAGAAATAACAACTTAGTGGAAAGTTAAAGGTAACACATTTAATGTTGAGCAACAAATAAATCGATCCAGCAGCCGGTGAATTAATCAACCAGCAGAAAATCAATAAAAATCCTTCTAAATTGCAAGAAGCAAACCAGTGCCCTCCAAACATTAAATATCATTGGACCTTTAGTTATAATAATGACATGTTCACGAGGTGTAAATTCAAAAATGGTGACTAAAGGCAACATTTGTTCATGAACAAGATAAAAGACTATAACAGTATTGTGGGTGCCAGCTAGATTCAAGACTCACAAAGCAGACAGATGCAAAGAAATTCGAAAAGCGTAATAGTATCCATTTGTTGTAATTGGAGTCATTTGCATAGAGCAAAGCAATGAAGGAATTTCAAAGGCCTTGAGTTGGGACGCCACCGTGATCATAAAAAAAAGCCATAAACAATCAAATCTATTCCTGTTCCGTGTTGTGTGTATATTGTACTACTTTTTTATTACTATGTAACAGTCTGAGTAACAGTGCGTAGCATAATTCACATTCCCTGCATTTGATTTGAAACTGTATTTTATGAGTGTTGAATGCTCTCTTCTGTTTGTACATTATATAATGTGCATCCTGCATACATTTAGGTCTCTACGGCAGCACCATTATTAAGAAATACATGTTTTGGTTATGCCTACAATTCTTTGTTATTTTGAGAGAGAACCCACTGTGACCAGTAAATGTCCCATAAGACCTGATGTGCCCACTGAGTGTGCCCAATCAACCTTGCCTCACAATGCATAGCAACAGTGCTATATTGCTACAGTGAGCAAATTGCACACATTTTTATTCTAAGTTGTAAACTTTTTTTGATCAGGATCCTCACCAACCTATTGTTTCTGTAACATTTTGTAATTGTCTCATTTATTATTAAATATCACCCTTTCTAATATTGTAAAGTGCTGTGGAATATGTTGGCGATATGTAAATGATAATTATATTAATAATAATACATCCATGTATTTCTCACGGAAATTTTGAAGTCTTTCAGCATGAGAAAGGAACTAATCTCACATAGACATGTTTTACACATTGACATTGAGATTTTACATTTTTTTGCAACAAGTAAATTATTTTATAAGTATAAGTAATTATTATTAGTTTCCCCTGAAAATAAGACATCCCCCGAAAATAAGCCCTAGCTTATTTTTGGGGGATGCTCGCAAAATAAACCCTACCCCAAGAATAAGCCCTAGTTGCTAGTCACAAGTTAGCTAATCTATGTTCAGGGATTTTTCCCCAAACAGATTTGTTGGATTCCATTCATGAGTAAGCTAATCTATGTTTGGGAAAGTTTCCCCGAACTTAGATTAGCGGGATTCCATGCCCTCGTGAACTGGTCTATGTTCAAGGGAATTCCCCCGAACGTAGACCTGCTTTCTAGCACATGCTTGCTAGCGTTGTTTTCCATAAAATAACACATCCCCGAAAATAAGCCCTAGTTCGCTTTTGGCGGGAAATTTAATATAAGACCCGGTCTTATTTTCGGGGAAAGACGGTAGTAACTAAATCTGCAGTAAATAATTAAATCATTTTTTCTGGTTCAGTGAAAAATTAAAAGGGTGTACGTATAGTTATACAAAGTCATTGTTGCTGAAACTGTGGAATACATTTTTAGAAATCACAAGTGTATGAATCATAAAGATGTACCCCCAAGTATGTTTCAAATACCGTTTTTTACAATGGTGACACTTCATAGGTTTTGCAGATGTTCTTGTTGTTTTTTTAAACAGGAATTATCTTGTCATTAAGCATTGATGTGAAAGGAAAATTGTGAAATGATATTGAATTCTACATAAAGGTATGAAAAATTACCATACAGGCCTTTGCCAGGCCAATTTTTGACAAAAAAAGAAAGGGGTGTAGGGGGAAAAAATAAACCTTAAAAATGGGAATAAGAAGGTTGGTTTTAGGATAACAAGTAAATGTCAAGAGGCCCTGATGGGAAAATACTAGTTGCAGAATCAGCAAGAGGCACAAATTAATTATTCTGTGTATATTTCCCAAACACAAGTAGAAATCCGATTGTATACTTTCCATGAATACCACTCAACTCAGTGAAAGACTGCATTTTACATCCTGCAGTGAAACACCTACCACCCTCAGGCCTCACTTCACACTCAACTCAGTGAAATACTGCATTTTACATCTTGCAGTGAAACACCTACCACCCTCAGGTACTGACTGAAGCTTGGAAGATACTCCGTATCATGTATTCCGGGTTGCTAACATATTCTCATGTGTTACTATAGATTTGTTACCAGTTATACCTGTAGTTGCCACTGTAATTTTCTGTGCATGCAGTTTGTACTATAGTCATTTAATGTTTCTGACCAATATTTCATGTTGACAGTTATTAATATTTTGGGTGATAGAATTTGATTGCTAAACTTTTTCAATAGTATATAACACATGGCTACTTTACTCCCCCCTCTCACTCTCCATTTCTCCTCCCCAGTTGTAAATACCTTGATATGACTGTTCTATCTCATTCTCTGTTCTTCAGGCCTCACTTCACACTCAACTGCATTTTTTCTCCAAGCGGTTTTCCTGACACTATAGTGCCCTGAGGGTGCCCCCACCCTCAGGATCCCCCTCCCGTGGCACTGAAGGTGCAGCTTACCTTATTCCCTTCAGCAGCTTACCTTATTCCAGCGCCAGGCTCCCTCGGCGCTGGTGACCTCTCCTCCCCCGCCAACGTCAGCTCCCCCATCCGATGTCAGTGGAGCCAAATGCGCATGCGCAGCATGTGCCGCATGCACATTAAAGCTCTGCGTGATGGATGCGAAATTCGCATCCAGCGTCGCAGATGCGCCACTAGTGGCTGTCCGGAAGACAGCCACTAGAGGCTGGATTAACCCCAAATGTAAACATAGCAGTTTCTCTGAAACTGCTATGTTTGCATCTGAAGGGTTAAATCCTGAGGGACCTGGCACCCAGACCACTTCATTGAGCTGATGTGAAGTCTGGGTGACTATAGTGTCCCTTTAAGTATTTACTCGAATGGCAAAGACTACTGCTCAGCAGTGCCACCAAGAGTTCTGCTATGAACACTACCTCAATGATAGCTTCAATTAGTCTGAAGATTGAGTCCCAGAAAGATCTATTTTGCTGCTACCACGCCAATCATAGTAATAAGTGACACCGACGTGCCACCTCACAGATAAATGCAACAAGGTGTGACCACTTCAGCATACAGGCAACATGTAGACATCCCAAAGCTACATGTGGCCTATACATTACTCTGCTTGGAAACCTTGGTATTTTGTTAGGCCAGATATAAGCACAAATATTAGTATATCTCTTTGAGGCTTGCACGGATCGTTTGTCACCAATTGGATTGAAAGCATTATAAAACAATAAAGAATATTAGGCAAGCACATTATTTACAAGAAGTATACACTACCAATCATGGAAATCTTGTATGGCATCCATCTCCACAAAAGTTAGTGCAGTTCTTAAAAAAGCTGTGGAAAGTTTTGTCTACCTTGCTCTTGTCTGCAATTTAATGTCGCTGTATTTTTAGTGCATTTAAGTGAGAAAATGCACTTGCTGTAAAAATGCAGACATTAAAATGCAGGCTTTGAAAGCATAAGTGTCATGATAGCAGCTTTATAATGGTGCAGCAAAAATTATAGCCATATTTATAACGATGCCTTGCTGAGAACAGTTCACAGACACTTAAAAGCAGGTACAGGCTAAGCACCCTTAACCTTAATTCTGAACGTTGTAACCACGTTTAAATTAAAAAAAGATTACAACATGGATAGAACTAGAATGATGCTGCACGCATTAATGCAGATCCATCTTGCCTTCTCTCAACAATGTTTGTCATGCAAAACTCACAGGTTTGATACTCTGGGTTTTAGATGCGAACCAATTTCACACAGATGTTGGAAAAAACAAAACAAATACAGTAGTGGCCAATATTGTGCAAACCTTTTAAAAAATTTGTATTTCTGAGGTTTGATGGCTCGCAACATCAGCATTTTTTAGAATAATACTATACAGTTATATATTATTAGAAAGATAGGTTAATGAAAAATGTACTGCAACACACTTTATTTACAAAGGCAGTTATACACAGAAAACCATGAAAAAGCAGAGAAAACCATAGTAAATCATGTTTCTTAACTTTTCCCAAACCTTTGAGTACTGCCTTACAGCAGAATGTTAGCATGTTAGAATGTTAAACAAAGATTTCACAATTGTTTCTACCAATTCACGTATATTCCTTGGTAGCTTCTTATAATTTTGTTTAGTCAGCTCCACAGATTTTCTATTGAATACAGGTCAGAGATAGCACCTGCCCACATAATCTTTACATTTCTTTTTCTGTCATACCACCCCAAATCATTAGCTAACTGAATGCTTCACAGTAGCTGTAGTGCATTTAGGCATCAAATCTCCAATTCTTCTTCTTACATACTTTATTCCATCACTACCAAAATACTGATATTCTGGTCTCATCTATTCATATTACTCTGTCCTATTGTTTCTCAGATCAAATAACATCGTTTTTAGCCTGTTTGAATAACTTATGTTTTTGTCTGGGAGGTAGAAATGGCTTTTCCTTGGAATTATAGAATTTAAAGTCTACATCTAACAGTCCTAGCACTTATCCGCAAGCCACACTGAGACATGATTTTTAACTGAGTCAGGTGATTTTTCTTCTGTCACTTAAATATAGTTTTTAATTATTCTATTACTTTATGCTTTTGTGCATCTTTTCCTGCCTTTATCAGTTTGGTTTTGAATTGACTTAGTCTGCACATACCACTTGCGCATATTATAAATACTTCCTTTGGTTAGGTTTCTACCTAATTTTTATGATTTCCTTATTATTTTCTTCACAAAGTATTGTTATTTTTCATCACTTTCTATGTGACCAGTGAAGTATATTCACTCTGTTTGTCATCTCACTAAGTTGCACATCTTGACAAGTTATCAAGAAATAGAAATAAATGTGACCAACAAATCAGTAAACAACAACAACAAAAAACAAACAAAAAAACAACAGTGGCCAACTGATGTCAGTCACACAACTTAAAGGGAATCCTATTATTAGCTCTGATACATGGGTATTTTTACCTCTGGAATACCTGACCTTGGCTATGTGTACTTAATCATTCTTCCTTCTCTTGGAAGACTTCTGCACCAATAAGGATTTGAAATAATAATGCATAGATAATGAGAATCTTGTTTCAGTATTGCTTCACAAGAATATGGCATTTAGTAATAAATGAAAATAAGGAATGCTTAATTAGCAATAAGCAATATAGTCCGTTAGACTTCAATACAGAGTTCACAAAGCAAGTGATTCCTGTTGTAGGGAAGTAACACAGTCTTTTTACTTGAACTAGTAAATGTTGGCAATGATATATATCCTGGTATGAGAAGTGGTTATAGTCTTTTAGACTCCAATAATAATGAATAACATAAATGAGCAAGTGGAATCCCATAAAGCAGACTTTAGTATTCCTTTTTCCTACCAAAATAACTTTAGGTAAGAACCAATTAGTAATCCCAATGACTGGAGAACTTATCTTGCCTTTCTTGGATGATGAGCATTGTAGTCCTTTCCAGGGTAGAGTGGATTATGGTTCCCTGAAATAAGTGGAGAGAGGCAGGAATCCAAAGTGAAGTCTGTTCCTTATCAGGGAGTTGAGATTACAGCATAGCCAGGATCAAAGCCACAGAGGTTCTTTACACAGGAAATCAGTTAGCAGAGCTCCGTCGGAAGCGGCAACAATGTAGTAAGTACCGAGAACACATCAAAGATGAACAAACATTGATTGAGCAATTTGGATGCGGTAGCGGCTTCCTTTTGAACGGAAGCGAGTGACGTCAGACGCATGGGAGGAGATGGATCGGTGAAACCCACAAGTCATATGGGTAATGCCAATCGGTCTGAAATCAATATGGAGGAATTACGAAACAACATGGAGGAATACTGACACCTGTCTCCGGTTATCCCTTTTCTCTATTAGGACTATATTCTTGCAGTATACGTTAAGCCCAGCCAATCTAAGGTTCGCTAATACTTTATCTTTTATTATGTCTCTAGTTTGTGTGTTGGGGTAGTACCTTGACAGGTGACATCCAAGATGCGAGACACCCACTTGCTCCAACCTTGCACCATTCATGCATCATGTCACACTCTGCTCGCTCGGACGCTATGCGCATTAATGACATGCGGAGGCCCTGAGTAATTTACGGCTTTGAAGCTCCTGCTTCATTTATGCGACACCGTTTAAGTGTAGAGATGTTGCGAACCCTCCGCGAACTTCTCGCGAACGGTTCGCCACGGTTCGCCACGAGCTGTTCGCGGCGAACTCCGGTCAGCTGACACATCCCGGCCAATCTCCAGCAGACCCTCCCTCCCAGACCCTCCTACTTCCTGGACAGCATCCCTGTTTCAATTTAAGTGTCTTTTGGCATGCAGAAGTGACACCAACCTTTGCCCTGGTGAGGTTTCCATGTAATTCCTGGTTTACTGAACTTGGCTTCTCTTGACTGTTCTGCTTTTTATATCCCATCATCATTATAATTATCGAGTGTTCTGAAAAGTGATGCTTTTTTAATAGTAAATTCCTCCAATTTTCAACGAAGTTCCCATTTCAGAATACTGTTAAATTTAGAATAAGAGAAAAAAAATAAAAAATCATTTGTTAATTTGAAAAAGAAATGGAGTAATGTAACGAATAGGGTGCAAAAGAAGCAATCGATACAAACACAAACAAAAAAAAAAATGGAGATATCTAATAAATTGCTCCAAATATTCCGTGAAAATTAGACGGTAAAAAAGTGTTGATGACTCTGAGATAAATTTCTCTTAAAGTGTTGTAGGAAACTTTAATTTTTTCAAATTTTGGCAACTATGATGATTGGTGCAGTTGTTTTGGGCACAGACTCTGCATAGGGCTAAAGCTGTAAGTCTTGTCAGCAGTTATGAAAAACTTGTTTTTTTATTTTGGGGGGGGAATGAGGGAGAGGGCACAGGCTCTGCCTATTGTACCAATACCTCCAAATATATTATTATTTTTTTTTTTTATTTCTTCCCATTACACAAAAATAGGGCAATGATGTGTATATATATTTTTTTATTATTATTATTGTATTTGAAACATTTGAACAAAGAACACACTGACAGGTCTGTCTCAATGCTGAACACATTAGCTCATGTTATGTAAAGTTAATGTAAAGTTAATGGAGTTGGCTTGTCCTGATAATCAGGTCAGTACACCTTAGTAACCAGCAGAGGCTTCCCCGCCCATCACTAAGTTTATGACAAGCCACTGCTAAAAGTATTAATGACAACAGCACGTCGACCAATCAGCAGCGGCTGCTTCCAAGCGTCATCTCTCTTGGATACAGAATGTTGACGGATTTCGCAAGCGCCCAATAGGCTCACTCGGTTTACTTCCTGGTTCGCTTGGACACGCCCTTCTTAGGAGTATCTCTAGTGATTGGCATCCGTTCTAGCCAATGGCGGCTTGGCGTGGGCAGAGCAGGAAGAGGAGGGGGCGGTTACCCGGCGGTAGCTGTACGCGCAGGTCGGGGACAGCAGCATGGCGGAAGACGAGAGTGATCAGGAGTCGGAGAGACTAGGGGAAGAGCTGGAAGCCATCACACAGGAGGAACTGCAGGGCATTGCCGCGGACGACATCAGGAGCCGGGAGTACTGCCGCCGCTTCTGCGAGGTGAGCCGGGCCGGGCCGGTGACAGAGGGGCCCAGCCACCCAGGACATGGAGACTGCCTGCTCCTGGGCTCGCTGGCTCTGGAGTGCGTTTCCAAGCTAGCAGAGCATCATGGGAGATGTAGTCCCAAACACAGGGAGAGCTGAGTGAGCTGCCCTGTGCAGGGAGCAACACCCCATTCACCCAGAGAGAGAGAGCCTGGCTACCTCACCTTGCAATATGGCCACTGTGTGTGTGTGTATATATAGTGTCTGTCTCTCACTGGCATTATCTCCCACTCACTGTCATTATCTCCCTCTCACTGGCATTATCTCCCACTCACTGTCATTATCTCCCTCTCACTGGCATTATCTCCCACTCACTGTCATTATCTCCCACTCACTGTCATTATCTCCCACTCACTGTCATTATCTCCCACTCACTGTCATTATCTCCCACTCACTGTCACTGTCATTATCTCCCCACTCACTGTCATTATCTCCCCACTCACTGTCATTATCTCCCCACTCACTGTCATTATCTCCCCACTCACTGTCATTATCTCCCACTCCTGTCATCTCCCATTTCTCCCACTCACTGTCATTATCTCCCACTCACTGTCATTATCTCCCTCACTGTCATTATCTGTCACTGTCATTATCTCCCACTCCTCACTGTCATTATCTCCCACTCTCACTGTCATTATCTCCCCTCGCTGTCATTATCTCCCCTCTCGCTGTCATTATCTCCCCACTCGCTGTCATTATCTCCCCACTCGCTGTCATTATCTCCCCACTCGCTGTCATTATCTCCCCACTCGCTGTCATTATCTCCCCACTCGCTGTCATTATCTCCCCACTCGTCATCTCCAGTCATTGCCTCTTTCTCTTTATCTGTCCACTTTTCTCTAACAGTCTCACACAGAGTCATCCTCTTTCCTTTTCTCTATTACTCTTAAACAGGATTATTTACTAACGTGAGAATTCCATGTGAATTCCAAACATAAGGTTAAAATAACAGAATTTGAAAATAATTTTCTAATTCAGCTATGCTTCTAGTTGAGCTACTTTTGCATTAAAGTTTTAAATTCACTTTGAATTCTTACTTAAGTCAATAAACCTGATATTCTCAGGCTTCTTCATTAAACTCTGAATTGTATCTAATTGAAATTCAAATTGCTGAATTTAAGCACAACTGGCTGACATGGAATATTGTTCTTCTTTTTATCTTTCACTTTTAAGTTTGATACAGTTTTAATGAATAAATAATCCTGTCTCACCTTTCTTCTTTCTCACCTTCACTTAGGGCATTGGCTGATTTAATTATTTAAAGAAATGTCTTAGACTGCATGATAGAGATCAGAAACAAGTCAACAGTCCGTTGGATAAACACATATTGTAATGAATTGTATTCCCCGTTTTAACTAATAATGCATGCTACCGAAACTCTCATTCTAAAGGTTAACATATAAAAATAGTTTTCTAAAATACCAAGATATGAACTTTATATAAGGGCATTTTGTATGTTGCTTTATTCTATGATGGTATCCAGTTTTCTAAATTAACAAGTAATTCCTTTTAGGAAGCCTAACTAAATATGCTTTAAAAACGTTTGGTCTGTCCAGTTCCTCATTTACTATCCAAAGTAAGTCAAGAATTCTATCATGATTCCTTGCTTTCATAAATATGTGTTAATGTGCCTCACCCAGTTTATTATAAGATATATCTAGTAGTTATATTGGGTGCCAGGCTTGGCCAGTAAAGCCTTGCATTTAAAGGAGCACTTCAACCCCCTAAAGCACTTTTATAATGGTGTTAAGCTGCCCACTTTCAACTTCAACCCCCTAAAGCACTTTTATAATGGTGTTAAGCTGCCCACTTTCAATCAGTTTGCTGGGACGGTACTCTTCTTTATTTGTGACTTTGTGCCGCAGCAAAAAAGCAAAAGGTAGTGCTTTGCATAGATAACCCTCAGTCAAATGTTCACCCATATTTGTGTCGAGGCGTGAGTCTTATGACTCCGCTTCCAACCACTATAGTGAGCTGATGGTGATTGCATTGTGCACTGAATAAAGTTGACCATTTATACACTGACTTTAAAATGAACATCCAGGATAGAATGTACTTAACATTCTATTGCTGTCCAGGGATCTTATGCTTATCCCGTCCATCCTTGCTGTTATTGTCTTCATCCATAAAAATCCTATATAATGTCATGTGTGTTAAAGAATAGTAGCTTCACTCAGATTAATTTTGTTTTTTGCAAAACAGTGGTAACACCAACCTTAATTTGCTTCCTTTTAAAGGTATCATAAGCTTTGGTTATCTTGTATTTTATCATGGATTAAAGGGTTACTCCAAGCATCATAACCACTAACGCCCACTGTAGTGGTTATAATGCCAGGACTATCCTGACATCTCTTCATGATAACAGGGAAAGCAGTTTTGCAGAAGTTTGCCTTCTTTCCTGGGACCTGCCAGACAACGTGGTCCGTAGGCACCAATCTTGCTGCACTTTTACTGGCTGAGTGTGTCAATTGATGTCTCTCATTGATCCCAATGCATTACTCTCATTTCATTACTCTCATTTCATAGAAAATGCACATTAAAACGCTGCATGTACAGACTTCAAGTACCATGACCTCTTCAGATAGCTGAAGTGGTCATGATGCTTAGAGTAAGCCTTCTCATGGTCATACATATCCCAAAATAGAAAGCTATTTCATACAGCTAATATAATTGTTTTTTAAATATCATAGATTTACATAGTTATATGTAACAACAAATCCTTATCATAATCACACAGGCAAGTACTACTTGTTTAACTATTCAAACTTGTCTGAAGGATATTATGGTCCCTCTCTGTTGTGTAGCTCTCATACATCATTTATATACAGAGTTCCATTCTAGTGTTGGTTGGGTGTGTGGTTTTTCTTTTATTTTATATAAATATATATATATATATATATATATATATATATATATATATATATATATATATATATTCGCATCACATTCAAAACAATTAACACAAGTTATAGATATTAGTTGTTGTTTTTTTGTCAATCATGTAACCTTTAAGACAATAGAAACATGACAGTTTTTTTTAACTGCCATATATATTTTTATAATCTGTGTATATTGTTCACTGCAGAATACAATGGCACATTTGAGGATTCTTTGCAAAGTTAACTATTTTTATGACATTATGGTATGTAGGGCTTTGTAACTTCTTACAGCTTTTCAGGGCAGAAAGTATTATTTGAAATATGTTGGTGGCAAAGACAGATTAATATCTTCTTAGGTGATTTGCCCTAAAAGGATACAGCTGCAACAGTAGGGGATATATATCAGCAGAAAGCACTCTTTTGTTTATAAATATATAATATATTAAATATATTCAGGCAGTCCTTTTATAAACAAGAGTGCTTTCTGTTGATCTATAACAGAAACTGAGGGTCAGTTGGTCGGAGGGGTACTTATACCCTTTTATTTTAATTTGGTTCCTGTATGGCTTAGATTAACTTTTTTTTTTTTTAAACATTTTATATAGGTTATAAAATGTTATGTTAAAGTACCACTATAGTGCCCTGAGGGTGACCCCACCCTCAGGGTCCCCCTCCCGCCCAGCTCTGGAAGGGGGCAAGGGGTAAAAACCTACCTTTTTCCAGCGCTGGGCGGGGAGCTCTCCTCTCCGCCTCCGTTCCTCCCAGTCGGCTGGCTGCGCACGCGCGGCAAGAGCTGCGCGCGCATTCAGCCGGTCGCATAGGAAATTTACAATGCTTTCCTATGGACGCTGGCATGCTCTCACTGTGAAAATCACAGTGAGAAGCACGCAAGCGCCTGCAGTGGCTGTCAATGAGACAGCCACTAGAGGCTTTGGGGGAAGGATTAACCCATTTGTAAACATAGCAGTTTCTCTGAAACTGGTATGTTTATAAAATAATGGGTTAACCCTAGCTGGACCTGGCACCCAGACCACTTCATTAAGCTGAAGTTGTCTGGGTGCCTAGAGTGGTCCTTTAACCCCTTAAGGACCAAACTTCTAGAATAAAAGGGAATCAAGACATGTCACACATGTCGTGTGTCCTTAAGGGGTTAACATTAAAAAGCATGTGGCTCTTTCAATGATGTCACTCTCATAAAAACTGTCATTCACAGTATGATTGATGCCATATGGTGCTAGGTCCCCAAAATCTCAGGAGAACACGGCTGTATAGGGCATGCTGCGTGAAATTAGTGGGAGCTGCCACCATTAATCAAAAGTTCTCTCTCTTTATTGGGAGAAGGGCCTGTACCGCAGCTACTATTGCTTGGAGCTACACTAAAGGTTAGAGCTCCAGGCATTTGCAGTCTTCTTTGCTCTCTCTTTCCCTTCCCTCCTTGTTGCATGCAAACTTTGGAATACAGGTATAGATGGCATGAGCAGAGTGTTCCATTGTGTGATTCACAGCCCAAAGGCAGTTCTAAGCCCATTGCAGAGCTGAAAGTTGGTTCAAGGATGCAATGTTGTAGTTGTGATAAGTGTGACCCTTTAAGGACAGCACCCACAACCACACATAGCGTCTGCCACCTGGACGTGTAACTTCCATGAATGTTGGCAGACTGGGACATGTTATCCTGGTGCTGCCCTGATATTAAAGAACGCTAGCCATAACCCTGTTAAAAAACTAATTATATAAAGATACATAGAACTGAATTTGGTATTATGGGAAAAATAAACCTTCACTCTAGTGTTTTATTATAATCCAAAAAACCCTTGATGTCTCCAGACCCCGAAAGCTGATATTTTCTCCTAGCACGTAGAATAGTTGGAACTGCTCTACGATCTGACAGAAGCCATAGCAAATTGAACAATAACCTGGGTGGGCTCTGTGCAGCAGGAGAGAGAGAGCTAACTCCAAGTTGCATGTGCACACACCACTTGGAAAAAGTTGATATTCTTAATCAGGAAAAGAAATCCTGCAGCTTTCTGACTGCCAAGGATGGGAGCGACATGTTACAAAGCTCATTATCTTGAATGATAATGAACTTGAAAGGGGAGAATGGAAAGTCAGGCACCTTGCTCCATAGCGATTTCAGTTAGCTGAAGGGGTTATGTTGCTTAGTGTGGCACAGAGCAACTGTAACAAAGAAAACCAAATTCTATCCTTTTTATTTTTTTTTTCCTTCACTTTTTGCAGCCTGAAATAAAGATCTGATTTTCTATGTTGTGTGTGCTACCACAATTTAGTGCCTAGATTATTTTAGTCATGTGGATTGCTAGACACTGTCTTCAATATTCACATTTCTTCTAAGCGACAAACTTACAGATATATAAAATCTCACACTCGTTGATCTTAGTGTTCAAAACAGAAGCAAAGTTGAAGTTGCATTTCTCTCTGGCCTTCATTCCAAGTAATAGTAGATGTTAACACAAACTCCTTCTCATTGTTCATATTGAATATCTCTAGTCATGGGTAACACACACACAGTTTTATGTGATTTGAAGAACTATGGTTCTATGGTAATTTAACTCATGTTTTGAATATTCCACCTATTGCCAGTCTCTCTGATCCTTCACATCTTTGTTTTGTTTTTTTCTCTCTCTTTCTGTAGCTACTTTTCACCTTTGTTTCCTTCTAGAAACCTGCTAAAATAGTATTGAAATAAACTGATTACATTTTTAAATTGCCAGACTTTGTAGATGTGAGCAGGGAAATCATGGACTTGTGAATATGGATAAATGTAAAAAATATTAAATCATGAGACGTTGTGTATCTGGGTTAATTTGCTATTCTATATTACTTGTATACTTACTCAACATTTCCTCCTCTTTTATCAGGTTGTTGAAGAATATACTGCACGTTGGCAGGTTCCTTTACCTCAAGTCCAAGTTCTTCAGACGGCCCTGTGCTGCTTCACATCTGCCAGTGTCTCGTTACCAGCTCAATGTGAGCACGTACAGTATGTTTTGAGTAGACTAGCTTTGTAAGTACTTCTTTACATTTAAAAAATTAGAAAAAAAAGCTGTGATCACTTGTGTTGTCTATAACCACAAACCTGAACTTCATACTCTGATATAGTTGATTTTGTTAATCTTCAAGTGTAAGTGTATCTCTTCCTTCTTTAACTAGTACCAGCACTAGCTTGGGGCCTGGCCCTCCTTTATTGTACCTTATATAGATTATCAGAGGGGCATGATTTAACTAGGACAACTATGAAGTCCCTTTTGAAGAACAACATTTGTTCATCCATGTAACGTTAGAAATATCTATATTTAGTGATTGATGAAGAATAGCAACAATACTTTGATGCAAAAGTCAATTTATGGGAATTAAAATCTAAAATGTAGCGATTTTCGTACTGTTCAAGTCCTGAAAATATCAGTGATCTGGGTGTTCTGTGCAAATAGTTTTTTATTTGGCTATAAAAAAAAAAGAATTGCTTACATTTTTAAACAAAATTATTTTGCCATTATCCCCTTACCATACAGGTCTGTGTTCTCGTCACAGTGATTTCTTGATAAGTGCCTATTCCATTTTGAAACTTTTTTTTTTTGTTTGTTTTGTTTTTGGTAAAAATCTCAGATATCCCAACTTGGGAGTCACAGCCCCGAGTGCTCCTATCACCACTGGGTCTACTACTGCCTTAACTTTCCACATCCTTTCTAGTTCTTCTTTCAGTCCTTGGTATTTCTCCACCATCTCATGTTATAGTCACTGGGTATTGCCACATCCACCACGACTGCAGTTTTTCCTTCCTTGTCTACCACCACGACTGCAGTCTTTCCTTCCTTGTCTACCAGCACTTGATTGTCTGTCTGGATCTTGAAGTCCCACAGGATCTTAGCACTGTCATTCTCAACTACCATCTGGACTTCCAGCAGGTCCAATCCATATTCTGTACAGTTTGTACATGTTTCGCGAAGTACACAATCCCAGCAACTTGGTTGTGTCTCTCCGTGTATGCTGTTCCTGCGAACATCTTGCATCCGGCAACTAGGTGCTGGACTGTCTCAGAGGCCTCTTTGCACAGTCTGCACCTTGGGTCTTATCTGGTGTGCTAGACTCCAGCTTCTACTGCTCTGGTGCTGAGTGCCTGTTCCTGTACTGCAAGGATTAGTGCCTCCTACATGTTTCCAATGTTCTGTGAAGACAAAGGTCTGACTGTAAAATTGAGCTCTAATATTTTCTTTGCACCAAAATCAAGACTGTCTTTCTGCATTTAAGATATAATTAAACACAGGTTTGCAGTTCCCTCCCAAGAACCATTGTTTCTCAGCATTGTTATTTTAAATGAAGAATAAATGTATCAATGTGTATCTTCTTTCCTCTATATTTATCTTGGTGAATCATTTCCTTTTTTTTTTTCATTTTTCTTTCAGGAGTCTGTTTGAGTTGCTGCTGTTTTTTGGAAAGGATGAATTCTATGAAGAACCTTTAAAAGACATTTTGGGTTCAGTGCAGGTAATGAATGCTTAGATATTTTTCACATTCTGTATGCATCGGAATACATTGGAAGCTTTTCATAGACCTAAAGAATTAAAGAAAACACGATGCAATATATGAACCATTAATTGCTTGGGTAAATTTCCATAACAAACTTTTTTTTAAAAAAAATGTTTTTATTTTTTTTAATGTATATTCTGCTGCTGTATTAAAAACTCAAAAGCCAGTTATGCATCCAAATTATATTTCAGTGTCCGAGTATCTTTCTCTTTCTTTGTCAGGAAAAAAGACACAATTTGTGGAGTAAATGTCCTTTTTATTTTTTATTATAAGAATGTAATTATTTGCAGAAGTTTACATGCCTGTTTTTGTTTGTGATGGATGCGCTACCTGTTCCACACATGTCCCTCATGTCCTGTTTGCCATCTGTGAATTTGGAATCACCCATGTGTGATGGCCCTGTCTAACAACAAACTCCCTATAATGTAAATGTGTGTTTATTTTATAATTTATTTATTTTTTGTGCTCATTTAGTAACAGGCAGATAATGGCCTTGATTTTAATATTTTTGGATAACATTTTCAAATGATTCAAATCTGTTTGGAAAAACTTTCCAAATGATTTATACACAAACCTTCCCATAGACTTTACTAGTGTCTTCTGTAGATTTGTCACTTGGAAAGCTATGGACCGATTTGAATCATTACCGAAGCCTATCCAAAAATATTAAATTGAGGTCAATATGTGGTCTCCGTAATATTTAAATTTTTATTAATAGCAATATTTCACAATTTTACTTTGATTTATTTGACATTCTGATAGTATAATAGGAGGGAGTTATTCCAGCCAGAAATTGTACCTAACAGCCGCTTACTATATGCTTTCTTGACTATTAAACCAAAAGGTGCTTTGGTTCACTGCTTTATACATTGTTTTGCTTCAGTATTTTTAGAAGTATGGCGGTATCAGAAGAATATGCTGCTCTATGTAGCCGTTGTACCCATCAACTCCTTACAATACTTTGGATGCTGATACAAGATATCAGATACAATAATTGAATTTATTTCAATGGAAGCCCCTTTGTGGCTGGCTGATTGTAAGCCATTAGTCGGCATGGATATTGCAAAATATATATACACTGCCATATCTCCTAAACAGCGCTGTTTGTATTACCAAGACTTAGACTGGACCTTTAATTGACAACATTAATCAACCACCATGTTTATTAATAACCTGTTATGTTGATATATCTTGATTGTAATGTATAGTATTACATTGTTGTGCTAGATATTTGTACTATGTGCACTTTGTTCTTCTTTCTTTTCTGTTGCTAGCATTTTATAGCTACATATTAAAGTCTAGTGCCAATCTAGATGATCACATTCTATGTAGAGGAATATAACTTATTGGGATTTTTTTCAATTATACCACTTTCATTGACCGTGGAATATCTAGCAGGGATGGAATTTAACAAACTGGCTAATTGCAAAGGTGGCATTCTATCACAGTACCACACTTCAATACATTGAGCTTTTCAGAACAACCCAGTTTCTCACAAATGTTTGTAAATGCAGACTTCATGGCTAGGTATTTGATTTTATACCCCTATAGCAATGGGTCTTATTGAAACACTTAATTTCAATAATTTGTCCATATAGTGTATGTACTCTAATGCTAATATAGAATGATTTTTTTGACCAATCAAATCTTTATGCTTTTTCTATTTGTATTTTTATTTAAAACATTGAAAACAATAGCAAGTGTCTTGATAGAAGTTTAAATAACATTTTATCCCAATCCTGACTAGCAAAATGGTCACATTATAACATTGTAGGTTTGAATGTTTTTATATTTTTTCTTTTTGTTTAATATTTTGTTAGGAATGTCATGACCTCCTATTCCGATATGACAGTGCAGACCTAACGCTAGTTACTGGTGTAATAAAGGATGGGGGTCCATGGGAACATCCAGTGTTGCAAGCTATTCTAAAGGGAAAATCTGAACCTGAAGATGTTGGTACGTGAAAATATGTACATATGTCTTAATATGCTTCTGGTCTGCTGATCATGTCTAATATATATTGCTCAAACCAAATTTCTAGCAAATATGTAGATGGAGTTATTCAACTATACATTACATTCTTAAGTGAAATTTCACTTCAGTCTAAATGATTTTTCCATAAAATTAATTTCTTTATAAATGTGTTGCTTGTAAAACTCTGTTTGGGGTTGCTGGTGATTTTATATGCATTCTGTCTCGAGGAAAGTCCACAAAAGGACTGAAATATTGACCTATTTTTAACGTGCTAAAAAAAAGAACCTTTTATACTGCATTTATTAAGATTACGGAGTGCTGATGGCGATTGTTCAAAATTACATAATATTGGTATCAAAATATGTTATGTAGTAATTTCAAACCTGATTTTAGATGAACAAATGAAAAACATCAGAAGGTATTTGTATTTTATTTTTATTTATTTTTTAACTTTCTCTATGTGTAGTTTTGTAACCTATTTTTAATAATGGAGTTTTGTTATTTGTTTTCTTCCAGTTGACAAATACATGAGGTCTGAAAATCCTGTGTTCTTTGAATTGCGTGTCCGATACCTAATTGCCTGTGAGCGCATTCCAGAAGCGATGGCACTTATAACAACTTGCTTAAGTCATCCTGAAGTCAGCAAAAATTTGTATTACCATCAAGCTTATTTTACATGTCTTTATATGGCACGTTTAACAGATAAGCTGCTCAGTGAGGTATGATATTTCTGTTCATATGCCATTTATTGTTCTTTAACAAGATCTCCCAATGCTATAGCAGTGTATAAGCGTTTTTTATTTTTCAACATCTGAGGAAAGGGATTTAGGAGTAATTATTTCAGATGACTTAAAGGTACGAAGACAATGTAATAGAGCAGCAGGAAATGCTAGCAGAATGCTTGGTTGTATAGGGAGCGTTATTAGCAGCAGAAAGAGGGAAGTGCTCTTGCTATTGTACAGAACACTGGTGAGACCTCACTTGGAGTATTGTACGCAGTACTGGAGACCACATCTTCAGAAGGATATTGATACTTTAGAGAGAGTTCAGAGAAGGACTTATAAACTGGTTTATGGATTGCAGGATAAAACTTACAAGGAAAGGTTAAAGGATCTTAACATGTATAGCTTGGAGGAAAGACGAGACAGGGGGGATATGATAGAAACATTTAAATACATAAAGGGAATGAACACAGTAAAGGAGGAGACTATATTTAAAAGAAGAAAAACTACCACAACAAGAGGGCATAGTCTTGAATTAGAGGGGCAAAGGTTTAAAAATAATTTCAGGAAGTAATACTTTACTGAGAGGGTAGTGGATGCATGGAATAGCCTTCCAGCTGAAGTGGTAGAGGTTAAGACCGTGAGGGAGTTAAACCATGTATGGGATAGGCATAAGGCTATCCTAGACTTAAGATAAGACCAGGGACTAATTAAAAGTATTTTGAAATATTGGGAAGACTAGATGGGCTGAATGGTTCTTATTTGCTGTCACATTCTATGTTATGTAAGTACTGGAACTTTATGTAAGGTCTGGAATTTCCAAGAAGTGTTCAATAGGACATTTTAGATGATCCTTACTGTTGGAGACAGGTGTTTTTTCTAAGATGTAAATTAATATAAGTATTATTACAAATTTGTCTGCACTTTTTGTACATTTGAAGAATGGGTAATCAAGCTAATGTTATGTTCAGAATTTTGATCTCTGACATAAGACTAAGAACCCATTCACCTATAGAATGTTTGTTTTATTACAGTTCTTTAAATAACTTTTCATTTGTTCCCATAAAATAGAAATTAAATGTATCTTCTTAAATATTTATTCTCTCCTTCTTAGTTTTAGGATCTTTAAAATGAATGCTTCTCTTGGGTTTTCTTTCTCGGTCATGAATTAATGGATCAACTATCTTAGGGAAGTTTTTATTAGTGACAATCCATAAATAGATTAAATGTACATGATGCTAGTTATGGAAATTGGCCAAAACACTGATCCTAAGACAAAGCCTCTTGAGTCCTTATCTACAATTAATGTACATTAAATTACGCTTATTTTCCTATATGTATTATGTGTTTGTAAGTGTTTCTAATGTAGGCATCTTTTTTTTTTTTTTTTGTTTGTTTTTCTTTTAAAAACATAGCATGTCCGTAGAATAGATTGCACTGATGGAGTACAAATTATATGCAACACTGAAAGTGAAGGTAAAACTGCGTTGGCATGGCAACTAAGTGAATCTTTCCTTCTCACACAGTTACGAACAGGTGCCATGTATTGTATTTGGTAAGTACTGGTGATATGTTTTGTTGGCAAAATACACCTATTCATACCATGCAGTGTCTGTCGTCTTGTTTATATTGATCTTAATATGACTTGAGCATTGCAAATCATATTAATGTCTTTAGAAGAATTTTAATTGTGATATTGGTTAGCGTATGTAAAAACACACCAGAAAAGGCTTATTCTATTTGTATTGCTCCAATAATTCATCATCTGCATGGATGGGCAGTTTGCTTGTTTTTTTTAGTTTTTTTTAATATCTTAGTCTGAATTATAGTTGTACTCTGATAGGCTGCATATTTGTTAGCCAGACGTAAATAGAGCAATTCTTTTTCATCTTTAACTTTCTACAATACAAGGCTTATTTCAGTAATTCAAGTCACAGCACACAGGTCCTGTAACATTTACTTAATATATTTTACATATTGCTTGCTTCCTTCTTAATGGACTACTGAATATTTAAAGCATCACAATAGTGTTAGGACTAGAAACCTGTAGTGCAATTGTCTCTAGTTATATACAGATGGTTCTCCCCACCCCACTACTTTTTCCAGTAAAATGAAGGTTTGGTACCCCTTTAACAGCAAAATTCCCTCTGTGCTGCTTACCTCTCCACTTCCCACAATGTTATCGAGGAAGCATAGCCTCCTCTGGGCAATAGTCTGTGAGGAGCATTGGGGACCTGATGCAAAACAATCACTGCTTGTGCAGTGGTGTATCCTGGTTTTGTGCTGCCCTAGCAGTGGCTGCTGGGCGGTAGGGCGGCGCTGGCGAGGGAGCTGAGCAGACCGCTCAGAGGAAGAGCTCCCTCGCCGGCCGCCAGCACCGCCCGCCCAGCCCAGCCTGTCAGCCGCAAGGCTAATTGGGCATTTGGGGGGGCGGCTTTTTTTGCTGCCCAAGGCAAATGCCTTGTTTGCCTCGCGGCTAAAACGTCCCTGTGCGTGTGCATTCAATCCTTCTGTCTCACATGACTTTTTATTGTGGTCAGTGCAGCAGATGCACCTCGTAGAGGCATGATTAAGCCTTCAAGGTACACCCTGCCTTTTCTGCAAAACAGCAGTGGTTTTTACCCCAAAGTGTTCAAATGATAGGTCCACTGCACCCAAATCACTTAAATTCAGAGTTATTTGCACTTGTGTTCTGCGGGCAAGTTGGACCCAGCACACATGAGTTAGGCTGCTCCGGGCTGCCTAATGTCCAATCTGTGCATAAAATACTTCAGTCATCAGCATGCACTGGACACTGCTGACAGAAGAGACTGCTTCTCAGGGATAAGCTCTTGTCTCACTCTTTTAACTCTCCCACCTCCCTTCGCAAGTTGAGAGCGTGTGCATGCGACCTGAGCCAGTAGAATGGTCTATTTTGGACGGAAGGAGGAGGGGGGCCAAGAGCTTCGCACAATGCTTGGTTAATGTTAGTTATAATTATTTTATGTTTTTGATTTGGGGACCAATATAATACCTATACATGTTAAAGGGTAGGAGAAACCCTTTAACTGTTGTACAACATACATACTCATAAGTGTGAGCTTGTTCTTTCATGCCATTAACTGTTCTCCTGTACCCTGACACAGGTCTGTTTGATACTATACACGTTGCACAGTGCTCTTTAAATGACACTATGTGAGTGGTATTTGACACAAATCTAAGTGTTTTTTTTATTTTTGTGTTTTTCCAGGGATTTAATATTTATTTGGAGCAAACTTCAGCTGAAAATGAACTCCTCTAAGCAAGTGTTTGTCGAGCAATGCTATCACATGTTAAGGGTTGCCACTAATGTGAAAGTCATTTTTCCTTTTATGAAAATAATAAAACAAGAAGTAAGTGCAATTGTATTTGTTTTATTTTATTATTATTCAGACAATTGGGTACCGGAGTGTGAAGTAATGTAACTGTTCATCGACATATGTTTTGTTGATATTGTTTTTACTTCCATATATAATACAACATATGAGTCTTTTAATGAAATCTGGGTAAATCAAAGTGTTTTTTAGATCCAGCATTTGGTTAGACCATTGCAATTATAGCTATCTTTGGCATTCGTTGCAAAATGTAGGGTTTTATTTCCTAAACGCCAGAATGTTCCAAACTGAAATCAGAGTATCCAACTCTCTATTGTTAAAGCCTGGTCATTTTAGCCTAGTTTTTATAATTGGTATTTCAATTTGCTGCAGTTTGGAGTTTAGTGAATAAACCCTGTTCTAGTCACCTTTCTCCTTTTGTATTTACAAATATATAAAAAATCCCATATATATAGAATTTAGTAAATTAACAGGAACAGTCTCCTTCAGTATTGCCATAATTTCCGTGGCACTCCTTGTTGGTGTCAGCTGTGTCCTTATGTGGACTAACTCCTATTTCCATTCCATTATTTAATGACTGTATTTTGCTGGGGGTTTTTTTGGTAATAATTATTACTATTCTTAAAGTCATGTCTTTTGATCTTTCCTTTCTTTTTGTCATACAGATTGCAGAAGCAGGCATACAGCTGTCTGTTGAGCTCTGTGGGTGTGCTTTACAACTAGATCTTCAAAATGAGCTAGAGACAAAATGTTTAATTTATAAAACTATTGCTTACCTTTTGCCCACTGACTTGGAGATTTGTCGAATCTGTGCTTTATCGGTTTTCTTTTTGGAGAGGACACCAGAATCGTACCAGGACGTGGAACGTTTGTACAAACGTTCCGATGAGGATTACAATGAATTTACAAGCTTTGTAGAGAATCGTGTAAGATTTGAGTTACTGCCAATCTTAAAAAGGGGTCTGCTGTTTGACCCAGAATTTTGGAATTTATCAACAATTCAGAAGAACTGTGCTAACCTGCTTGATGATAAGGCTGTCATGATCTTATCAAATTTTAATAAACTGGACAACATTGTTTATCAGAACTTAAATGAGGACTTTTCAGTTACGAACTTAAGCAATGGACCACTAGAGCACAAAAATGCAAGCAACATTAAATCTGGAATCCCTGCTGAATCGAAAAGAAATCATACAGTGGTTGGTGCAAACAAATTGGACCATATTAATGTTCCAAGGCATCATTGTACTTTGTGCAATAAGGAGTTGCTGGGGGGACATATTTTTAGGCATGCCCAGGCTCATCAGAAAAAGGGTTGCTTTTCATGTGTTATTTGTGCCAGAAAGTTCAGAAACCGTTTAACAATGCTTAAGCATTTAAAAGATCACATAAAGAAAATACAGAGACAGCCAATGGCTAAACCTGCTGATCATGCTGCTTCAAATGCCTCTACTCACTTGTCTGATACACTTGGAGTTAACTTCTCAGACATTTCTGAGGTGTCTTTAGAAAAAGGAAATTCCAATAATGCTACCAATGAAGTATTGACTTCTGTTTCAATTGTAAATGCCACAAACCAAGACTCTGATCCTGAACCTGTAATTCCAGTTGAAAATCATGTAACTGATCATGTCATTGAAAACCTAAATCATGTAAGTGATCAGGTCATTGAAAACCTAAATCGTGTAACTGATCAGGTCATTGAAAACCTAAATCATGTAACTGATTTAAAAAATTCAGTTGAAGACGTTGAATTATGTGAAATAAAACAAGTTGAGTGCAGCTTGCCGAGCGAGCCACCTGAATGTAATAAAATAAATGGGTCTTTACATCCATGTAGTGGTGATCACGTAGTAAACCATGGCGGGAATTACAAATGCCCTGGCCAAGGATGTACCCGCGTTTTCAAAAAGACTAGTTCCCTTAATAAACATGCAAGGAAAGCCCACCCAACAGACATACATGTACAGCAGCATTTAATGAACTGGAGTAAGGGAAAATGCCGTTTCTGTTTCAGAAAGTTTGTAGACGCTCAACATTATATTGATCATGTGAAAAGACATATTTACCCTAATGTCTACTTTTGCCAACACATGGACTGCAAGAAATCATTCAAATTAGCAGGTCAGCTGACAGAGCACATGTCAAGCCATGTTGTTTTCAGAGCTCAGTGCAATTTTCCCAACTGCTCTGACGTTTTCGAAAAACTCTCCTACCTTTACGAGCATGAAGCTCTTCACTACAAGCAAAAGGTTGAGTTCCACGTAACAGAACTTGCCACTCAATTGCCTGCAATTAAATCTGTAGATCATGTTATTGAAGAAAATATTCAAGAACCGGTAGACACAACCAATAGCTTACGTGTGGCTAACAGTGAAAACGTAGCGTCTGTCAAAGACAAAGAAATTTTAGATTTGTTAGTTCCAATGTGGAAATCAAGAAAAGATGTAGCTAAACCAAAGACATATATGCAAATAGAGCAGAAAATAAATGATGACGTTCAGAATGGTGATGAGCACCTTCAAGAAATTCCTGATCATGCGCACATGAAAGGTTTAGACTGCCCAGTTCCAGAACTATCCCCTGAAAATGTTGCAGAAATTATTCCTAATGGATACAATGTATCTGATCAGGCTGTCAAACAAATCACGCCTGCAGATTCTGCACATAATGTTGCCAATTCAAGTACTATATTTGTTTCTGATGCTGCACAAGAGGCAACTCAAAAAGATAGTGCTGTTCAACCTGATGAGAGTGCCTCCAAAGCATTTGTGAACTCTGGTACAGTGCAGTATGGTGGAAATAGGGTTTTTATCAGGCCATTGCCTCCAAGTTATCTAGATGAACAGTACATCAGCATGCCAAAACGCAGAAAAATGGAGGAAGAGCACACACCTACAAAGGATACCACGTGTAACAAGCCGGTGGAAAGATTTAGATGTGAGAAGTGCCTAACAAATTACTGTAGCTTAAAAGCACTTGATGAGCATGTAGCACAAAAGAAATGCCAGTCCTTTTTTGGGTTTGATTCAGATGATGAAAGTAAGTAAGATTATTTCCAAACTGCCTTTATGTCAATATTTTACTCTTGGTATTGTTAGACATGTCGGCTATAAATAAACTGACCTTGCTTTATAGACTTTCTACTTTGTATAAAAGGTTTAACGTATTTAATATTTTCAGAATAAAATCACCCCACCAAGTTGAAGAGTCGCAAGCCTTCTTATTTCATGTTTTCTGAACATGTAATACATTTTAACTCCACCCTCTTGAACACCCCCCCCCCAAAAGAAATCTATACTTAAATTACCAATGTATATTAATCTTTATTCTGGGTACAGCAGTAGAGGAAAAAAAAAAATAGAATGCGGCGGGTGTTGGATTTCCTTAATAGTAATATTTTTTTCTAAGTTGCAAGTATTGAATGGAATTTTATAAGTGTAAGGATATGTGTGATTGCAAAGGGGAATGGCAGAGTTACTTGAGAGCATAGAGAGAAAAGTATGGTAAACCAGGAAAAAAATGGTAGCAGATACATTAAGAAGAATAATGGAAGCATGCCCTTTGGAATTTAGATTTTGGTTTTCCTCTTAGGCTGTGTCTTTGGAAAATGGTGGAGTAAAAGATGGGTAGAAAACAATAGTAAATTAGGTGCTCCAGAAGCTTGGAGACCAAGATCATGGATACAGTTGGTAGTAGTGTAATAATGAAGTAGATATACACAGTCTGAATATATAGGTTTTACAACTTTAAAAATGATGTTTAGGTCTTCTCCCCTCCCACTCTGTATACCAGCAGAATGGTAAGGCTTCTGTAGAGAACGTCAAAAGAATACTTGGAATATAAATGTCTGTTGTTAAACTACTATAAACAATATTTTTTCTGATTCAAGAAATTTATTGTATGATTTTTATTTTTTTTTTCATTTTGTTTATAGGTGCCTGGTGAAACCTTACCCAAGAAGAAACAAATTCATCACATTTCTGGTTCAAAATTGGCCTTAAACTAAACTTGACTGCTTTTCACATTTTAATTAAAACTTAATCACTTGAGTGCTAGATGTGTATATTTCAAGTCCAGAAAAATGTTTGATACAGCAAATATGCGTAGGTACCAAAAATTTGGAGTAAAAAGTCCTTGATGCTTTTTGAAGATCATTTTTTAATAAAAAGATCTTTTTATACAATAAAACAAGTCATGTTGATTTCATGTAGATAATTTTCTTAGTTTCCTATTAATTGCATCTTTAAGTTTAAAATTTTAACCCATAGGGTAAGCCGAAACAAAATCTGCGTTTTACGTCAGACAAATGGGGCAATGGGATAAATGTAAAAAAATTCAAAGTAAGTATTCTAAAGTGGACTTGACAAATGCACAGTTTGTGTGAAACATTCACTTCAGGTAATAGTACGTTGAGTATTGAGTGAATTTATTTTTAATATATTCTGTTAATAGCATACTAGTCAATAACAAATAAATGTTAGTATGGTCTTTATTTTTCATGGGAGAGGCCAGTGGTTGGGTTAAATAGTTTTTTCCCTCCAGATAAGTGGCAATGCAACATTAGGGACATCACTGTTTCCTTCTGGCAAAAGGCAGACAGGACTCTATTTAAAAAAACAAAACACTTTTTTAAAAGGTTAAACCTCTCCTCCTCCTCTTTAGCTTATAAAATCTTCTAGACAGAAATGCCCAGTTGGTTAGGCCTTTTTCCCAGGCGAGGTGAGACTGTTGCAGCCGGGGAGGGCACCACTTGTCTAAAGACCAGCTCTGGTCATAGGCTCAGCTTTTTGTTATTCAAGTGGTGGAACTCGCGCTGAGTGCCTGCATTCCACGCCTATGTAACGTCCAACCAATCCATGCTTGAAGTGGCATTGGTGCGCTTGGATGCACTGTTCAGAGGTCCTTAAAGGTGGAACACATGTACTGGTTATGATACTTTCCACCTGGACATTGTGGCAGAATATGTGCATGTGCAATGCAATCTTGGCACCAAATTCAAAAAGGAAGGACCTTGGAGACTATTAAAACCACAGCCACAACTACTTGTCAGCCAGGTGATGTTCAGTTCTGTTGTAGGTGTGCTGTCACCAGCCCTTCAGCACACCCAGAGGCCATTTAAAGTAAGACTTTCAGCTTTGTCCCTTTTCTAGCATAGTTAGCTTATTTTTTCTTTTTAGTATGTCTAATCCTGAAATTTCTGAGAAACTTGTGGATAAATGGAAGTGTTTATCCAAATCCAAGAATCTTGTCTATGCAGTTTGCATTCAACTCATGCCAGCGGAAGAAGTGAAAAAAGGAGAGGTTTCATTTCAATCTTGGTTTTCAGTCATCTTTTATTCCTGGACCTGAATTTTACAGAAAAATAAGAAAACGAAACATGAAGTATATTCTGACTCCATTTTAGATTCCTCCGCATCATCCTCAGAAAGATTCAGATGCCTCATCCAATCAAGATTTTGCTTGCCCAGGTGAATGCTTGCATAAGCTTATCAAGGAATTTTATTTTTTTTAAAGAAGAAAGGGTAGGCCATAGCACAAGAAGATGAAGTATATTTCCTTTCTAAGCCTAAACATATCATGCTTAGGTAATGGAGATTTCAATCCAAGAAATACTTTCTTACAATGCACTTTAATACATTTTATTTTCTTCCATTAAAGAAGAATGCAATAATAAATTAGATCTTTCTAAAGTGGACATGGCTATTGCACAGGTGGATAAGAAAGATTGCAAGAGGCAATGGTTTAAAAAAAAAAAAAAAAGCTGAATCTACATTAAGGCTTTAATTAATGCCGTACAGAATAAAGCCCTTATTGCATGATCTTTGGTTACTAAAGCACAATGCACATGGCTGGGTTCGCTGGAAAATCTGTGTCTAAAAGGGCTGTCTGATTTACAGGCTGGTCAGCGCACTCCACTTATAAACACTCTATGCGACCTGCCTTTTGAACAAGGCAGTCTTTCCAGCTGGCTGATCTGCTTAAACAGATGGCAGAGAGGAAAAAGGCTCTTCAAGAGGAGAAAAAGAAACTACTTATTTTTTCCTTATACAGATATTCTTTTTGCAGTTCAAATTGGCGCAACTATCAGAGACAGACTGTTTGGGTTTTTTTTTTACTACAGAAGTAAAGACAAAGGAAAGGATTTTTTTTTTTTTCACGCAGACAAATGGGTCTTTTCTATTATTATTATTATTATTATTATTATTATTATTATTAATATTAATAATAAAAAAAAGTCTTCCTCAAAGCTTTCTTTGCTCTATGGTCTGATCTCCCAGAATAGCAGAACCTTTATCTAGAAGATTGTGTAATTCTGTAAGAGGCAGATTACTTTACTACCAATTCAGAAGTCTCAAATTCAGTTTTTCCTCTGCCCCATGGGTTTTTACAAAGTTTCTGGTGGTCATTAATGCCGCTCATAGTAACGTCTTCATTTATTCCCTTTTCTTGGATGACTAGCTGTTGAAGGCACTCTCAGACATTTTTCTTCAAGATGTCCAGTAATCCTCTTCGTGTCTTTAAGCATAGGGCTGGATTCTCAAGCTATGGAAGTTAGACATTGTTCCCTCCAAGGAAAAATTTGTTTCTGGGCTTTATTATAGATTCTACACTCATGAAGATGTTTCTATCTACAGAGAAGATTAAATTAATATTAGCCTTGTCTTCCCTTAAAGCAGTATGTTCCATAAGGGAGGCAATGCTGCATTGGGTCTTCTCACTGCAACCATTCCAGCCATCCACTGGGCAGGAGTAAGTATAAGACCATTACAGAAAAACAACCTTTTTAGAATGGAACAGAGATCAATCCTCTGGGTCACCTTGTGAAAATTTAGCCTTCAACAATAAAGAGCTTCAGCTAGTGGAAAGGTTCAAAGTTAATTTTGAAAGGCCTATCCTTCTGATTGAAAGAATACTGTTTCATCACAAGAGACGCCTCAGCTTTTAGTTTGGGAGATTAGATGGGAAACTCTTCTACAAAAGGACAATAGACAAGTCAAGATTCCAGAAGAACTTTAGAGCACTATAGGCTGTTTGTATGGTTCTCATACATTTTAGACAAGTTCTCTTTCATTTCCTCAGATAATGCCACTACAGTGGCTTACATCAACAGATAAGATAATTGTTTGCAGTCAATTTCATAGGGAACGTCAACGTTCTAGCAGATGCATTAAGCTTAAATCTTCTAAAACAGTGAGATTGGTCCCTGATCCATTAAACATTCCTTTTTTATTTTTGCTTTTTTTGGAAGGTCAGAAATACATTATTGCCTCGATCGACACTTCAGACCAGCCAGACTACCTGAACACCCTAGCGATTTATTGGGATTTCCCAATAACATACATCCCCGCCCTCCAGTCCTGTTGATTCTGAGAGACATGCACAAGATTATCCAGTACAGAGCCACCATCATAGCTATAAATTATTTCTCTTCTGGCTAAAGTTAGTTTCTTATGCTTATAAGCCTGTCCTAAGGAAACTACTTGACCTTCCTTTGTCTTTGAAAATTCTGGAATACTACCTAGTGGATCAGCAGACCTTGAAATCTTTCAAGCTCACAGTTTGATTTCTGAAAGGCAAATCCTGAGTTCAAAAGGTTTAAGCCCTGAAATTATAAATATTTTTGTGTTGGCCCTGAAAAATTCCACCAGTGAAATTAATGCAAGAATTTGGAAAAGGTTCTTTGTTTTGGTACAAAGGTTAATCCCATTGCAGCTCCTTGCCGCCTGTGTTTTCTGCAACTTGGCTTCTCTATAGGTTTTACATCCTGCTTCTCTTCGTGTTTAAGTCTCTCTGCAATCAATTTTACTCCCTCAGAGATTTAACTTCTGATCCCCTTGTGGTCAAATTCTTCAGAGCAGTCTCTAACTTGCTTCCTACAATTAGAGAAATCACTCCACCTTGGGGTCTTTTGTTCTGTCATCCCTCTGCGAATCTCCATTTAAGCCATTACAGGGTTGTCTTTTGAGTTTTATAACCTGGAAAACAGTGTTCCTGATAGCAATTACATCAGATAATGTATATAACTTTAAGCACTTCCAGCATATCCTCCCTCTCTGACTTTTCATTTGGAGAAGGTGGTTTTAAAGCTTCATATTCCATTTCATTGATTAAATGTTCTAACACTTTTCTGTTACTTAGACAAGACAAATTCAGATAATCAGCACGCTTGGTTGTCCTTTACCAGGGCCAGAAGAAAGATAATATATGGCCTACATTGGGATCCTGGGCCAGCTGGATCAAGGAAGCCATTAAATGGACCTAGTTCCTCAAATCTGCCTCCTCTGCATTTTAGGAATTTCTAACTATAGATTAGATATACAGGCCTGGGAGGATACTCTCTGGGTGCCAATTGCTTCAAGTAGTAGTGAAGTGCAGTTATTATATTATTTATATAGTGCCATCAGATTCCGTAGCGCTGTACAATGGGTTGGTAACTCTCTATGGGATTGCTTGTTTATCCCTAATGTTGCACTGCCTCTAAACTAGAGGGAAAGTTATTATTATTTATTTATTTTACTTTGCACTTATTTCCCTCCCTATTTAATTATTTCAGCTTGTGTACTTTCTTGAGCATTTTTGTCTTTGGGGATTTTATAGTTTAAAAATGAGGGAGAGGAAGAGTGAGGGGCTTAACCTTTTAAAAGTGTCCTACCTGCCTTTTTCCTGAAGGAAATGGGAGATACCTAATGTTGCACTGCCTCTAATATTCAGGAAAAAGACATTGACAGTAGAAACACTTTTTTTTTTTTTTATTGGTAGAGCACAACTTCTAAAAAAAAAAAAAAAAAGGTAATTATGATTCCCATAATTTGGAGCAATGTATCACTAGTCTCCCATTATAAGGATTTGAATAAATGCATATTTTCTGCTTACCAGCACTTTGACTTCACTTGTTAAAGGACCACTATAGTGCCCTGAGTGTGCCCCCACCCTCAGGGTCCCCCCCGCCGGGCTCTAGGGTGAAGGGGTTAAACTTACCTCTTTCTCCAGGGCTGGGCGGGGAGCTGTCCTCCTCCTCGACTGAATGCGCATGCATGGCAAGAGCTGCGCGTGCATTCAGCCAGTCTCATAGGAAAGCATTATTGAATGCTTTCCTATGGACGCTGGAGTCTTCTCACTGTGACTTTCACAGTGAGAAGCATGCAAGCGCCTCTAGCGGCTGTCAATGAGACAACCACTAAAGGCTGGATTAACCCTAATATAAACATAGCAGTTTCTATGTTAACCCTAGGTTAACCCTAGCTGGACCTGGCACCCAGACCACTTCATTAAGCTGAAGTGGTCTGGGTGCCTATAGTGGTCCTTTAAGGCTAGTGGAGAGTGATAACCATGCTGTTTCCGATGGACTTTAAAAAAAAAAAAAAAAAATGTAATCATACAGAGACAAAAAAAAAAATATCCTTGTTGTGCTGCCATAGTCTAGAACAGGGATAGGCACCCTTCATCACTCAAGATGTTTTGGATTACATCTCCCATAATGCTCTTACACCCATAATGCTGGCAAAAAACCATGGGGGGGGGGGTGTAGTCCAAAACATCTGGAGTGTCGAAGGTTGCCTATGCCTGGTCTAGAAGTTGAAATGGCATCGTGGGAATCTACAGTGCGTAGAGGAAAATGCAGATTCCTCACAAGTAGTCATTCATAAAGTGGTAAAATGTTATATTTTCAAACCCATAGCATGCCATAAAAATAGCCATGATACTGTACAATGGCAATATTTTATTTATCCAAAGGGATGTACAAATGTGTTTTGTTTTTTTAACCATTATAACTTAATCTAGGATAGTTTTCTCATGCAATACACATTCTATTTTTCACATCAATTGCACACACAACCTTTCATGATACTCACATGTTAGTGTGCTAATTTTAGTATTTCTTGTTAGTGAGTGAGTTCATGTAAAAGAAAAAATGAAAATTAAGCCAGGAAAGCATGAATTCTGTTCACTTTCACAACATCTCGTGATCAGTACATGCTTTGAAGAGAGTACAGTATGCTTCCTGCTATATTTGATGCTTCCAAATGTACGTGAGCCACAAAAGAGTGAGGCAACACCAAAAAAAAATTATCGTGCAGAAAAATTAAGCAGAATGTATGTATGTAAAGCGTTCCTTCTGAAACTAGTATTTAGCAGGACTTTTCTTTTTAACCTTCCTAGCTGTCACAGAAAAATTATATGGTCGATATTGCACATAGTCCACTCCCAGAAATGCAATGGAATTTTTCACCATTTATATAATTTGATAATTAAGCTTCAGAAATAATAATTTGCTGACTTATTTCATATGTGTAATACTTCTTTCATACTGATGAGGGAAAAGGAGTATAGAGTTTTATTAGGGCCTATCCACAAATTAAGGTCAACCTAAACCATATTTCATAATTTTCCCAAATTGTTTATTGCATGTAGATGACTTGATGTCACTCTTCAGGCTCTTGACAAACTAGAAGTGCAGTTATTTTAGCCAATCATAGATTGAAGAGCTACTTACTAAGGATACCGGGAATGGGAATGGGGTATATGTAGAAACATGTCATCTGCTCTTAGAATATCTACAACTAAAACAATAATGGGACCTATAGAAACACCTAAAGCAGTGAGTTAGAATTTTTATTTTTTGGGGGACAGGGACCCATAATATATGTATTTTGGCAACAGCAAAAAACAGCCCCCCCCTCACATTGTTTAAAGATTATCCCCTGTACTAATAAATTAAGTTAATTTATTGTGGCTGTTGTCTGGATCATGATGGGTGTGATGCGACTGTTTTGACAACCAGGGACCCAAATGTTCGTGCAAACCTGCTGTTAAGAATCATTGCCTATCCCTGACCTAGAGCCTTCTTCCTTCTGGGTATACCATTACAATTGTTACCAATGTCTTCATTGTCCCCCTATTTATTTTATGACAAATGAAACTTGTATTGTAGACATCAATCCTATTTATATAAACTTTTTTATTTTTTATATAAGACAAAATATGCATAGATGTAGGGCTGTTGATGCATAATGTAAAATTGTGTTTGAGTCTACACGCTCTCTTAACAATTACAGTTAATGAAGTCATTGTTAATTTAATTTTGAACAATGATGTGGTTTATTGTATATCGATTTAGGGATTACCCAAAATCTTTTGCAACTGGTTGATGAAAACTGGTTTGAGAACCAATAAAGTATAGAGTTTTTTGTTTTTCCTATAAATTTATAGGATATGTTATGTATATTATTGTGCTTTGAGTACTGATTCATTAACATCTTTCTGAGACTTGAAATGTGCATGCTTTTGCCCTAATACATAATCTAGCATCCCATAGTGAATAAGTAAGGAGATTATAGAAATTGGCCAGGAATTATATGTTAAAGGAAGAGAAATGAAGGAAAACACAAACTCAAAGGTTCAATTCTACTGAATCGTATATTACTTCACTGAACACTTTTAAATTGAAAATGTAAACTTCTTAAAATATGTGGAATACCTCATTTATTTCAAATTTGATGAAAAATATTTTTTTGGGGGGGAAAACAATCATGTTTCACGATTCAATAGAAATAATTTGATAAACTTGATTTTCTAAATAAACAAAGTTCATCTTGGTTTTTAAAGGTGTAGATTTGCTTATTGAATATAAATTACATTTGCTTGATTATTTATTATTTTATGGATTATGCTCTGAATATAGGTGATTAGGGCAGAGTTCCAATTTTTTGTTGAAAGGAGTTATGGGGCGAGAATTTTCATGTAGCGCAATGGAGAGTTTTTCCCACTCTACGTTTCTGGCCTGAATGTTGCTAAGTATTTAAAGTTAAGGTGGCACACAGATTTATATATATAATATGGTAATTTTAAAGTATGCAATAAAACCATTTATACATATGAAATTTAGTAACTGCGATTCGTGTTTGACTAAGCATTCAGATATGTTCATATCCTTCGTATATGCAGACATTGATATAATCATTGTGTGCAAATTAGAATATAAGCAGTTCTATAGCACGGTAGGCAACCTTAGTCACTCCAGATGTTGTTAATTAAATTAAATCTCCCATAGTGCCCTTACAGCTATTATGCTTGCAAAGCATCACGGGAGATGTAGTCAATAACACCTGGAGTTCTGAAGATTGCCTATGTTTAATAGTAACAGAAATTAATTGGAAATCTGAGGCAATTTGAGAGGTATGTGAGGTACTACCACATTGTATAAGAAAAGTGAATTTCAAATTTTCCAATTTATAAATAAGTAGGTATAGTCGCCATATCAAATTAAAACTACTTTTTTTTATTATTATTATTAAGGAAAAACAAATTGGTATAATGGAATTATTAAATAAGTGATTGTGTGAAACATTTTTGCAGCAAAATACACTTCAGGAAACTGTAAATGAAGTGAAGAATAAAAAGAACACACAGTTCCATGGTTACAATTGCATTCTACATTTTTCTGGTTTCCTGTGTAATGTTTCAAGAGCACCTCAAACAAAATGTTTTTTGAGAAACTGGAATTATCTTGTAGAATTGGGCAGCAGTGCCACTGAGAGTGGTCAGATCACTCTCGACCAGTCAGTGACTCCCTATTCAATTAACTGGCTTGAATAGGACATGTGTTTTTCAAGCCAGTTTTATAAATGGGGGGTCACCGACTGGCTGAAAGCATCAGCTAACCTCTCTCGGCCAATCTGTTGTGCCACTGTTCAATTATGCAAAAGTCTTACTGTTTCCCGATTTAGAAAAGAGGTAAGGACAGAGAGATTGGCTCTGGAACACAGAATTTGAGGTTGAACTGTTCAAGAACAGTTGAACTCTTGAGGTGAGCAGCGCCTTCAAGATCTGGAATTTCATTTTTTATTTTATTTACTTCCAGTTGTAAGTAAACTACCTGTTTGTGATCAGTACTTTGAGTTCTAAATTCAATTCAACAGAGATACCAAAGGGAAACATTACTTAATACAAGACAAATTATCTTATAAAAAAGAGTTGATATGATTATCATAGAGACATTGAATTCCTCAGAATAAAGAGCTAATCGCTTTATTTGCAGGTATTTTAAAAGTAATCTGTGTCAAACAGTAGTTTAAAGTACTAAAATTAGGGCAATGAACATGGAAAGGAACAGTCACATTCCATTGTTGACTCTTCTTTCAAACACGTACAAAACTGTAATAAATCATTCCATGTATCCTACACTTAAATTAATGTCTACCAAGCTCACCAATGCTAACTTGCATGAGTAAAGAAGTTTTCTCACCTAACATGCATTTCACCTATAGTTCGCTTTTCGGGGCTGACCCCTGAGTTTCAATCGGCATCTTATAACTAAACATAGAAACGGTAATTCTACATAACACTGATAAACTAACATTTTGAAGTACGGTTAGAACAGTACAGAATTGTAATCATGGAACTTTGTATTCTTTACTTCATTTAAAGTGTCTTCAAGTTTGTGTTGAAATGTTTGACACACCAACCTTACATCATTTTGATTAATTCCAGGTGTTAGGATGCCATGATGTCCCTGGTGCTGTTTCACCTTAAAGGTTTAAACTGTTCTAGAACTGTTTAACCCCAAAGTCTGTGTTCCAGCACTGAATTTCCCTGCCTCTCTGTTTCTCAGTTTTTTAGCAATCAAGACAGTAAGGCTCTCACAGAATCAGGCAGCAGCGCTGCGGATTTGTTAAGAGTGGTCAGCTGATACTCTCAGCCAATCAGTGACTCCCCATTCATTAAACTAGCTTGAAGGCAGTTTTATAAATGGGAAGTCGCTGATTGGCTTTTAGCCAATTGCAGCCTGATTCTGCAAGAGCCTTACGGTCTCTTGATTTTAACTTAAATTGATCAAAATGATGTAAAGTTGGTGTGTCAAAAATTCAACACAATCAACTTGATCCGGTTTCCTGATTTTGAGAAAACTAAGGAGGGGGGGTGGGGGTGGGGGAGAGAGGCAAGGGGAGAGGGGGAGGGGAGAGGCAGGGAGATTCGGTGCTGAAAAGCTGACTTTGGACTGAAGGTGAGCCAGCACCGGGGAACTTCTGGCAACATAGCTTCATTTCGAGTGTTTCTTTACTTAGAATGGAATTGCAAAAGTTTTATATATTTTGTCCTTTATACAAATCTATAATGAAAGGTTTTTTTATTTTTTTTATTTACTTTGACCACTATACCTACTTACATCTTAAAGACCGGAACTATGGAAAGCTTGTACTTTGAAAATAGCTGCTATTTTATTGAACAGTTAATAGTTTTAAAATTATACCCTCACATAGTCATCATGGATGGATGACTTAAAGGAACATTATAGTATTAGGAATGCAAAACTGTATTCCTAATACTATAGTGTCCCTCTGCCCCCCAGCGAAGAAAGGGTTAACATATTCCTTATCTCACCACTGGCTCAGTCGCCACCTCCTTCAACGATTTTGCAAGGAGAAACCTAATGTGCATTTGCAGCATGTATCACATGCATTAGGTCTTCCCCATAGAAAAGCATTGAATCTGTGCTTTCCTGTGTGGATTTAAGACACTGGATGTCTCCAAACTCTGTGACACAGCAGGAAGCACCTCTAGTGGCTGTCAAGTAGGCTGCCACTAGAGGCAGTCTTAACCCAGCAATGTAAACATTGTTGTAGTTTCTCTAAAACTGTAATGTTTTACATTAATTGCAGGGCTAAAGGGATAGATCCTGCACCTGACCAGTTTAATAAGGTGCCTATGGTGTCCATTTAAGCAAAATAAGCAAAACTCTTGTATGAAATAGTTTTAGTTTTAAAATGAAATTAGTAAATATAAATGTGCTACCATTTAATTCTTGTGAAATATTTTCTCGTCTGTTTTATACAAAATACTTTAAAAATTTTAAAAAATAAAAATAAAGGAAATAAGTCATATTCAGTATTATAGACCATCTAGAATGGGCATTATTTTTTATTTGTTCTGAATTCATTTGTGTTAAACATAAACGCACCTTTAAAAGTACAACACATATCCAACTGCCTTTGCAGTCATGCACAGAATTTAAATATACAAATGATCAATGTTAATTTTATGATTTAAAGGGATGAGCAGCACTTCTAGAAGTGGTTTCGTATTTTAAGAGTTGAGATTTAAAAGGTAAGATTTTGTCACTGTGTGGCCTATGTAAGCATAACTCTTTCTTTGACAAGTTTCTACAATTTAAATAGCACTTTTTCAGCTTTGATAACCTTTCATTTTTGCACACCAACCTATTTATAATACATTTGCTATTTAAAAAAAAAAAAAAAAAAGTTTCAAAATAGTTTTGATTTTTGAATGTTTTGTAATCTGAAATGCATTAAAATAATTTAACTTTCTAAGTAGTGGTACGTTTGTAATTTCTTAATTCTTCTGTCCATTGCTCTTGACCAAAGCCCCTCCCTTACTTACATTTTTGTGAAAGTTTTTTTTTTTTTTCACTCCAGCTAAAGTATATAATTCCTTTCTAACATTGCAGATATGTAAAGAATTAGTAGCCAAATTAAATGATTTTGAAGCTCTCTTAAACACGGTGAAAAGTGGAGAGAAATGTGCCTATTGACTTTTGTTTTATAGAACAGACCTTTTAATAATGACGTTAATAACCACATATTATTACACCCTATGTATGACAATTGATGTTTGGAATTCATTGATCGCCGTATAGGGTTTATTCACTATCCATGCAATTCCAATCAATTCAAATTCAGTTATTTAATCTAATTTAGCAATTTCGCTGTTAACAAAATAGTAAAAATTGTACAAGATACTTTATAGCAGCTCTGTTACTTACAATTTTCTTTGAATATTTTTTTTTTTTTTAAATGATGATTTTCCTAGATTAATAATATTTTGAATGAACCTGTGTAGTACATGTAACATTAATAAGTAGTGATGTCCTGAACGGTTAGCGGACGGCGAACATATGCGCTGTTCGGTCAGCCCCCTATGTCATCATTGAGTAAACTTTGACCCTGTACCTCACAGTCAGCAGACACATTCCAGCCAATCAGCAGCAGACCCTCCCTCCCAGACCCTCCCACCTCCTGGACAGCATCCATTTTAGATTCATTGTGAAGCTGCATTCTTAGTGAGCTGTCCAGGAGGTGGGACGGTCTGCTGCTGATTGGCTGGAATGTGTCTGCTGACTGAGGTACAGGGTCAAAGTTTACTCAATGATGACAAATAGGGGGCGGACGGAACAGTGCATATGTTCGACGTCCGCGGCGAACCGTTCGGGACATCACTATTAATAAGCATTTGTTGGTATCACTGTTGTATATTCAGGAAATGATTCAAGATGGCTAATCCAAACTAGGAATTTCCATAGGTGATACTCTTATCTCCCAACACTTCAATGTTTAAGGAACAAAACCTTTTCAGAGTTATTCTTTAAAGTAAGAGTTGCTAGAAGTTCAAAGTGAATTTCAAATATAAAGCCAAAACGAACACCTAATTGACTAGAACAATTTCTAAATCTGCCATTTTGGCATAAATGCACGTTGAATTTACTCTGAATTCCTGGCAATACTCACTTTACTGAATAACTTTGTCTGAACTTAAAATACCTGATGCAAAACTGTTACTGCACCTACGAGGAATCAATACTATGTTTATAGAACGTTGTTTGATGATAGACGCTTTAACTACAATTGTGCTTTTGTTCTTGCATAACATGGCTGTTGTGCTTCATATAACATTTATTCCTTTGTGCACTTTATTTCTTAGTGGTTGGTTGCCAAATTTCTATTTTTTATTTATTTTTGTTTATAAGATTCTGTAACTGAAACGTAGTTGGTGTATATGTAAAAAAGAAAAAATTGTTGCAACAAGCAGTTGAAATGTATTAAAAATATATATTTTTAGAGTGGTTTATAAAACTCACCATTTTACATTTCATTTTGACAAAGTTAAATATCCCCTTTACAAAAAAACATTTATATTGTTTTATAATTTTATATACTCATCATATGAATGACACACATAATAAATTAGTCTTTTTCTGCAAAAAGCAAACATCTTTTTCCCATTCTCTCCCTCTCAGCAGTTATGAAGGACGGTAGACAGGATTTAAAAATACACAATATAAGCATCTATCTTAAAAAGAGCAGCCCACCTGCATACATAGAAATATTTGTAGTCTGGAGGAATTATGAGAACACGAGAACAGCAAAATAACTGGAAAGACACTATAAAAAATAAATAAATATATTTAACTGGTTAGAACGTATTTTTATTACCAGCCAGTCTGCTAGGGCTGAGCTGTCCGCATCTATATTTTAATCACTGTTTTCTTAATGAGAGATCACCGTTTCATGATGTTAATTCTGCTTTATCGATATATACAAAGCGGAGTGTCCCTGTCTCTGATGTTTATGTGATATTAATTTGAGGGGTGAACCCAGGACACTTATCTTTAAACAGAGCTGTAGTAGTTATGTTTTAGAATGTGTGCTTTTTGCTTTTCTAATAAAGCACAATATGTTTTCTATGCATCTACTTTTTGTATGAGATAATTTCTTCAATCAAAAGTTGGCACATTTGAATATTTCATGGCATACATTTGGAGAAGTAAAATGATATATACATAAAGACATACTTGTTATAGAAATGTTCTTATTGCAGTGCATTTCTACTTTTACTATTCTACAACCATTCGCTATTGGCACACAACTGAGAATGCAAAACTGATCATCCAAAGCAAGCTACTGGACGGGGCAATGAGTGTTATGTTTCTATTTTATAAGTTTTTGTTTTGTTTTTCTCTTCTGTTGAACATATTAAACGCAAAATGTGATATTATGTAATATAATAATGTATTTCTTATTTTATTGTTGGCTAAATGCATACTTTGCATTCATAGACTGTGTATATTTCGGAATCTACTGAATATATCTGTTCTTCCTTGTTAAGGCAAATAATTTAGCTGCCATCTTTTGATAAAAATAAATAAAAACACTTTAAATACAAGCTGAGCCATTAACTGCAATAAGTATTGTTTTGTTGATAACAAGTTTATTTATTTTATTTTTTTTGTATTGTACATAGATTTGTTCAATAAAACATTGCCTGTGCAAATCACAAATGTCTGATTTATCTAAGTTAATTTGAAGTCCATGTTACGTGAATGTTTTATACGAACAGTACTCTAAGAATACTTTGGAATTTACACATTGTGTAGTAAATTTGCATATGAATAATCTCATAAAGATGGTTGTAAAAATATAGTATTATAGATCTAAATTTGCATATTTATTTTTTTTCAAGCATAGGCTTTGAACATTTAAATTTGGAAATAAAAGTGTTTTCTTTACGCTAAATTTAGGGGTTTTAGTTCATTCTTGTTTCAAACAATACATGAAGTTCCAATGGGTGATTTAATTCCTACAGTTACGGATGGGAGAGGAGTAATAATGCAATACAAAAATAGTGGGTCTGTTTTTGTGAATAGCCAGTCATTGTATCCAATGCAAATTTGTAAATGCAAATTGTATATGTTTTTCTTAGATTCATCATACACAATTTAAAATCAAAAGTAAAATGGTCAAGAAATATATTTTCAAAATAAACTAGAAAACAATCCTTAATCCAGACCATCTATAAATGGGTTCCACAATTGTGGAAGGTAGCTATTAATGAATAATGGCAAATATGACTTTTAAAAAATTAAAACAAAATATAAATATATATATATATATAACCAGAGAAAAGATGAATAAAGTAAGACTTTCTGATTTTGAAAAGAAGCCAGTTCACAAACCAAAAATTATTTTGTCTCATGGCAATTCATCAAATAAATAAATAAAAAACTAGCGAAACAAGGCTCTGGTTTTCAATCTTTGCAGTGAGAGAGCTGGGAATAACACATCCTGGCTATTGAATCAAGTAATGTTATCAGTTGGTACAAATGGTGACTGGAAAAATTTTAAGTTTTAATATGGAAGGTAATCTAGATTTATATTCCTATTCATAAGTGAAGACATTGGGGCATGAAATTTATAGATTGTAAACTGCTTTAAAGAGAGGGTTCTCATCAACCTATTGTTCCTGTAAAATTTTGTATTTTTTAATTATCCCCTTTATAATATTGTAAAGCAGCATGCACTACTAGAAGAAGGCAGGCCAGCAGAGGTAGTATGCTCTGGGCAATGTTTTGCTGGGAAACTGTGGGTCCTTACATTCAAGTGGATGTTACTTTGACACATACTGTCCACCTAGAGATTGTTTCAGACCATGTACACCCCTTTATGTTCCCTGGTGGCAGTTGCCTCTTTCAGCAGGATAATACACACTGAAAAGGTGTTCAAGAATGGTTTGGGGAACATGAGAGTTCAAAGTCTTGTTTTGGCCTCCAGAGCTCAATCCAATCTGTGGAATGTGCTGAAACAACATATCATGGCTAAACTGTATCATAGTCCAATTTTGACATAAAGGTGTAATACAGAGTTTAGCCATTACATGTCGACAAAAGATTAGTCCTCTAAAGTAAAGCTTGCTAAGTAAGATCTATGGCAGTGGTAGACAGATGTTATGGACTACACAACCCAAAATGCTCTTAGAGCCATAACGCTGGCAAAGGAGATGTAGTTCACAACATCTGGAATGGTCTATGGTGATCTACCCTTCTGGTTAAGTTTGAATAGAGTGCAAATTGTGTACAAACAGGCACTAGATCTCTTATCAAATCACTACTGGGCAGCAGCACATAGGTTCCCCCCATCCCCAATATTATTGATATTATTTATATAGCGCCAACAAATTCTGCAGCTCTTTACAATAGGTGGACTTACAAACTTGTAATTGTAACCAGACAAGTTGGACGCACAAGAACATAGGGGTTGAGGACCCTGCTCAATGAGCTTACATGCTAGAGGGAGTGGGGTAAAGTGACACAGAAGATAAGGATAGTAGTAGAGAAGTAGAATAGTATTTACTAAAGACTTAGTGTTTGATTTTTAATTAGAGGAATGAATTTGGAGCTATTAACAAAGTTATACGCTTATGAAGAAGTGAGTTTTTAATAATTTTTTGAAGGAGTGGAGACTGGGTGAGCATCTAACGGAGAAGCGAAGGGAGTTCCACAGGAAAAAGAAAGTTTACTATAGCTATTAAAATGTACTAACTTGATCAAACAAGGCAAGTAGCACCAGCTACTGTCTCCAGTTATGACAATTCTGTGCTTGCTCCGCAATAGTAATCACAATGGTAAAGTTAAAAGGAAACTATAGGCTAGGAATACAAAATTGTATTCCCCTAGAACTATAGCTTCTTATAGTGTTCCCCCGTTTGAGCGACTATCCCCGTACCCCCCAGTAGTGCAGAACCCTTCACTCACTTACCTGAGTCTGGGGCCGAGTCAGACTCTGCCTAGGCTCCTCGTTTCCAGACGTTTGGGACCTAATGTGCATGCGCAACGAGCACATTAGAATAGCCCCATAGGAAAGCATTGTATAAAATGCTTTCCTATGGGTTTTGGGTGACGCTGGATATCCTAATGCAAAGCGTGAGGAAGTCCAGCATCAATTAGGCGACCAAAACTTGCAACCTCCAAACATCTCTGCATTCCCGAGAGACTCTTGATTACCATCGGCTTTACTATTACCAATTAAACTGCTGTGTTTTATGAATCATGATTGCTGTTTTGTCTCACCTTGCCACCACTGGCATCACCTCCAGGGTTATCCTTGCACTGTGTTGCCAGCCAATGCACCACTGAGCAAGTTGCCTTCTTTAAGGTTTAACCATTGATGTTCAAAACTACATTGGTGTCCCCCAATAAACATATGCTCAGAGATGCAATGCTTAACCATATCTTGCCTTTCTGCCACACTAAATAGCACATACACCGTTCTCATTGAATAGTGGCAGAATGCATGTGTTCTCGGTTAATATGCTCATTTTCATTCACGCTCTTCATGTTTTAACAGAACAAGGGGTAGAGTCAGCGCTAATCGGGAAGGCAGCAGTCCCAAACAAGGACTCCCTCTAATGTCCCTGGAAATCAATAGTAAAAGCAAGAAAAATGAGGGGATGGGTCTGCGCCAATATGCACAATGATTAATAGTATTGAGTCCAATAGGATCTATGTTGTCGTTTCCAGAGTTCTACTTTTGGTGATATCCAGAAGGTATCGGTGACGTGAAGAGTAATCCAAATACGTAAAAATAGAAGAGATCTTACTTACAATTAGCAGAGCTTACATGGCTTACAGCGGTATTATTACGCGCGTCACGTGGTCCCTCCCAGCATGTTCCCTACTCACCTCCCCTTCTCCCTAGCCCAATGTAGGGCTCTACTCACTCCACTGACATGTAGTCTATTCTCTGACTACATGTCCCATGATTCCGTACGGCCGGAAGTGACGTCGCGCTTATGACGCGCGTCACGTGATCCGGCCTAAAATATGAAAATTTTCATAAAAGAACGCTTGTTTTTATACAAAAATTATGTTACAAGCATCAGACAAGTTATATGTATCTAATTTTTATTAAGAAAAGTTGTTATGTAAGTGCAAAAAAGATTTGTTTTACCATTGGTTGTACAATTTTGGCACCCATTTTAAATTAATTTTATACCTATATAAACTCTAACTAGCCAGGTTGAAATGTTTGTTATCCATTGATAAAGCCTTTTACTGGCGAAACGCGTTTGGATATTTTTTACTATTTTATATACTGTTAATAAAAAGATTTTGGTCATTTTTACATTTAAACCATCATCTTTTTTGTTACCTGGCTATTTTATACTATATACGTCTTTTATTATTTTTTAACTCCTGCATATTATACTCCAAAGAATCCTAGGTGGGGATTATACCACCTACGCTGTTACATAGAGCAGTTAGCCTGCCCTATACATTGTGAGTATATTTTATTATTTTATTTTATTACTAAGATTTTATTGAGAGCACTATCGCTGTTTTATCTTCTCTGCGAGCTCCTGATATTCTTGTCAAGATCACTCATCCTATATCCTACAAGCGGGGATGATACCGCTGTACGCCTAACCAACTAGAGCTAGTCAAAGCTCTACCGAATGTGAGTGTATCTATTATATTTTATATTTTTTATTATACGTGTAGAATATACTGCACCAACATTGTTTCTATTTTTTTCCCCAACTTGGCCACCTGTCACTATAAAGAAGAGGACACCTGCCGCATATCCTGCAAGCGGGGATAATACCGCTGTAAGCCATTCACACCAGAGCTGGATTAAGCTCTAATTGTAAGTAAGATCTCTTCTATTTTTACATATTTGGATTACTCTTCACGTCACCGATACCTTCTGGATATCACCAAAAGTAGAACTCTGGAAACGACAACATAGATCCTATTGGACTCAATACTATTAATCATTGTGCACATTGGCGCAGACCCATCCCCTCATTTTTCTTCATGTTTTAACACTGAAAATAGTTTGTACTTATTGACATACTCAAATTTTAACCCAGGTCTCCATTCACATTCAGGTATCTTGCCTCTCAACTCTGTGAGGGATGATGGTACATGCAACCCATTGTGAAACACATTGAGCCATACATTTTGTTTTCTAGGCATCTTTAACCCCTTAAGGACTGAGCCAAATGTACACGTTGTGATCAAAACAAAACGTAAACAAAGTCTGGCATTTGCGCTAGATGTCTGTCCATCCGTAATTCACCTCTTACATATTAAATGCACCCACACTTATTATATATAATTTTATTCAGGGGAAATAGGACTTTCATTTAACATCAAATATTTAGTTATGAAACATAATTTAATATGAATAAAATAAAACATGGGAGAAAATAAGATTTTTTTAAATTATCTTAGTTCTACGTGACATTTTAACTTTGAATGTCAAAATACTGTTTGCTTTTACTGCAATAAAATACACATATTTGTATTCAGCGATGTCTCACGTGTAAAACAGTACCCCCTATGTACAGGTTTTATGGGGTTTTGGAAAGTTACAGGGTCAAATATAGCACATTACATTTTTCATTTTTTTCACATTGAAATTCGCCAGATTGGTTACGTTGCCTTTGAGACCGTATGGTAGCCCAGGAATGAGAATTACCCCCATGATGGCATACCATTTGCAATAGCAGACAACCCAAGGTAGTGAAAATGGGGTTTGTCCAGTCTTTTTAGTAGCCACTTGGTCACAAAAACTAGTCAAAGTTAACATTAATATTTGTTTGTGTGTGAAAAAAATGCAAAAAACTAATTTGAACGCCAATTTTGGCCAGTGTTTGTGACTAAGTGGCTACCAAAAAAGACTGAACATACCCCATTTGCAATACCTTGGGTATTTCTTATTCCTGGGCTACCATACGGTCTCAAAGCAACGTAACCAATCTGAATTTCAATGTGAAAAAACTGAAACGCAAGCCTTATATTTGACTCTCTAACTTTTGAAAACACCATAAAACCTGTACATGAGGGGTAGTTATACTCAGGAGACTTTGCTGAACACAAATATTTGTGTTTCAAAACAGTAAAAAGTATTACAGCAATAATATTGTCAGTGTAAGTGCCGTTTGTGTGTGAAAAATCGGCTGACACATGGTAAATACCGATCGTAGTGACAGCCTGTCACTGCGATCGGAGGCTGCAGACCGCGGTCACTGGACATGCCCCCCAAATGCGAAATGCAGCGGGCTCATGGTACCAGCCATGTGGGCGAAAAAAACGGCTATGACGTTCTATGCCATCCTGCGGCGTTTAGAGCCAGCCCCTTAAGGACGGCATAGAACGTCCTCCGTCCTTAAGGAGTTAATGTAAATATACATGAAGGGTTTGCCTCCGAGTCAACATTTGAACAAAAGATGCATCTTTTATCATTGTCACTACAGTAAATTATAGGTAGAGGGAATCCATAGGAAAGCAATGGATTGGCTAATATTGCCAAGGAGGCAGATCAGGGGCAGAGCAAGCACAAGCCAAACACAGTCCTGGTCAATCAGCATCTCCTCATATAGATGCATTGAACCAACGCATGTCTAAAAGGAAAGTTTAGTGTCTCCATGCAGAAGGTGGAGACACTAAATGGCAGTCACTGCCTCAGGAAGCACCTCCAGTAGCCATCTGAGGAGTGGCCAGTGGAAGTAATGTAAACAACACTGCATTTTCTCTGAAAAGGCAGTGTTCACTGCATAAAGCTTGAAGGGAATGATTATACTCACCAGACTAAATGCAACAAACTATAGTTGTTCTGGTGACTGTAGTGTCCATTGAAACACAATTAAGAAGAAAAAAATTGCTTTAATTGCCTCTAATACGGAGACCAGCAGAATGCATTAAATTTCCTTAATTCACTTTTTAGTGTACTTTTCTCGTTTTAATTTCTCACCCCATTTATCTCTCTTTTTCATCTCAGTAACCTTTTAAAGGGACCACTTCATCTCATTGCAAACTCCCATTACCCTTAACCATGCAGTGGAAATTATTGCAGTTTTTATAAACTGCAATAATTACCTCTGAAGGTAACTCCTCCTCTAGTGGCGGTCTCCCAGACAGCCACTAGAGGGACTTCTGAAATTGAAACTGACTTTTGGTCCGTTATCTCACGCTGGATGTCCTCACGCTCTGCATGAGGACTTCCAGCATCAGATTTTCCCCATAGGAAAGCACTGAATGCTTTCCTATGGGGAGATCCTAATGCGAGTGTGGCCATTGCCACACATTAGTTCTCCCCCACCGGCGGATGTCGGCGGCTGAGGAGCGTTGGCGGAGCTGAGCCAGCACGAGGGACATCGGCGCTCGACCCAGGTAAGTGAATGGGTTATTAACCCCTTCAGTGGTGGGGCCTTGACAAGGAGAAATCTATAGTGCCAGAAAAACGAGTATGTTTTCCTGACACTATAGAATCCCTTTAAGCATGTAACTTTTTAATTTCCTCACGCTTCAAGCATGTATCTTTCCATCTCCTTACACCTTTTGCATCTTCTCAAACCATTTGTGTCTATTTTCGATCTCTGTTAACATACTGCACCCGTACCCGCAGATTCACAGCTTCCCTGTTGTACTCATATCTGGTATTTCTCAGATTCTCCACCTGCCCCTCAAAGCTTCTCTTTTCTGCTTCTACTTGAGTTTCTACTTGATTTTCAGCTTCTCTTTTGCATTTTCCCTATCCCAATATTATGCATCGGAACAGGGGAGCCTGAGGGGGGGGATCTAGCTTCTACTCATTCGCTGCTAAGAGGGAGCTTGCAGCATCAGCGGCACTTGTAGGCTTCTGACGCATGGTCCGTGAGCAGCACTGCTTCAGCGAGCCGCACAATGAGGAACACTGGGTTAGATAAACACTACACGCACAGGGTAAGTGATCCCATCTGAAAGAAGCATGTCACTTCTGGTGACGCAACTAAACTCAGTGCGCCTTCCAAGCTTAGTTAGGGGCAGCACCATTTGAGAATGTTTCACAACATACCTGGGGTCCACTTGGTACTCTTCCGCTAGTGCAGGAAACCTCCTGTTACGAGCTTCTGTTAGCTGTCCTGAGCTAAGCCCTGCAGTGCAGAGAACTTCCAGCAGCAGCACAAGAGATGGTGGCTGGAGCTGCACTGTGAACACCAGGTAAGTGGTAAAAGAAGAAGAGGCCTTCCTGGCACCATAACCACTGCAGTACTTGGAGTACTTGATATAGGTGATTATCAATATTATGTTCCATAATATAACCTACAGCTTGCTGGCCGTGAGTTCCCCTTTTATTAGTCAGGTGTCAGCCCTATCCTGGCAGCGAATCCCACCAATGCAGTTACACCATCTGCATGCCATGCCTCACTAGCCCAGGAAAGGTTCGTCGCGCCTCCATGACGTCACCGGCAGTGGCCGCTCGTTCCGTGGAACGCGGAAGTGACGCGCTCCCTTGCTGTCAAGCGTTCCAGCGTGGGCGGTTTCCTCCCGGTGCGATCCCCGGCCATGGCTGGTCTGAGGCCCCGGGAGAAGGCGGGCTGCCGGCAGTTACTGGAGCAGCTGGACACCGCCGACCTGGTGTCTCTGACCGAGACGGTCACCAACCGAATGATCCAGGTGTTCGGCAGGGAAGGTGCGCTGGGGTCCGAGCAGTTATAGGGGGGCTGGGCTTTACCACCAATTCCCCCCATAGTGTTTACACAGCAAAGCATCACGGGAAACGTAGTTCACAACAGCTGGAGTGGTAAAAGATTGCCTCTTAAAGTGTACTTATAAATCAATGACAAAACAGGAATCCCTTGTTGTTGTTTTTTTTTTTTTTTGGTACAAATGTATTTAAGCTTTAGGACATATTCAAATACCACCATGCTTTCAGAGCTGAAAGGGATATATATTAAATTGTATGCTTTAAAAAAAAACAAAAAAATGTTGGTCAGTGCAAGCATCATATCATCAATAGAGAGAACTATTAAAAAAAGGTACATGTCTGAATACAAATTCAGCAATGAGGTGAAGAGCAAAATGCTTCTAAAATTTAAAATTTTAAGTAAACTTGCGGTTGTTGGAGGGTTATCATAAGCTGTAGAGTGTAACCTGGTGTTCTGAGGTACAATCTAAATTTTAATTTTAAAGGCTGGATTTCGATGGATTTGCAGTTTTTAAGAATTTCTCTATTGCTGTGTTCCCAAGGAAATAAAAGGTACAAGTCAGAATGGATCCTCCAACATTACGCTCATGCTAATTGGTTGTATTTTAAAAGGACACTAAAGTCACCAAAACAATGTTATCTTAATGAAGCGTGTAGATCAAGCCCCAGCAGTTAAGCTGCCAACCAGCAGCTTCAAGGGGGAAGTGAAGTACCGGTACTTCCATATAGAAGAACTGGATTTTACTTCCCTATGAGAAGAATTCTATTGGGTAACCGCTGAGTTTTATTGGAGCAGTTGCATCAATTGCCACTCATGTGGCAGTTTTATATGGTCAGGAAGGAGAGGCTGTTATCCCTGATGGTTTCCCCAAAGAGGAACAGTGATAAGATAAAAAGATAAGTAATTTTATTTTCATAGTGGGACAATATTAGGGATATATAGGCCACCAGACCACTTCATCTTATTGAAGTGGCCTGGGTGCACGGTCCCTATCCCGTAAAACATTGCAGTTTTAAGAAATTGCAATGTTTATATACTGCAGGGCTGTAGTGGCTGTCTCCCAGACACGAGGACGTCCACAGTCTTCAAATCCCCTATAGGGAAGCATTGATTCAATGCTTTCCTATGGGAAGGCCTGTGCATGTGCATTAGGTTCTCCATCAGCGATGACGTCTCTGCCAGCAGAGAGAGACCTAGGCGCTGAAATAAGGTGAGCGTAAAAAAGTGTTTTTAACCTTTTATTTACTCGGAAGTGGGGCTGGAGAGCATCACTTTAGTTTTAGAAATGCAGCTTTCGTTCTTTTAACCCCTTAAGGACCAAACTTCTGGAATAAAAGGGAATCATGACATGTCACACATGTCATGTGTCCTTAAGGGGTTAAAGGAGTACTCCAAATGTTAAAATGGAATAATAAAACACAAATGTGTCTTCTAGGCTGGTGTCACTTTTAAATAATTTATACAAAGGTGACATCATCTAGCTTTTCATTCTAAGAACCATGTTGGGATCTTGCCAGAACAATAATAAATGATTCACATTGGGTGTGATATTAACATTTATTTATGTTTTGTTTTTTACTTTTCTAGAAGCCCTCGATGCAATACTTGTATACAGCGCAAGTGCCACAGAGCTCCTGAAACGAAGGAAGGTTCACCGTGATATCATTTTTAAATATCTTGCTACACAACAGATTTCTGTGCTTCCATCAAGTGATAAGAATCAACTTATCCAGCATGCTATAGAGTATTGGAAAGACCCAGTGAAAAATCCCAAATTGTCTTCCAAACCTCAGGTCAGTAGTCCTAACTAAGCAAAGCAATGTAACTCCACCTCTGGCAGATTGTCATTTGGCCATTATTAGCCAGCCTGAAATAGTAGTTTTGGGTCGCTAATGGTAATTTTATGCATATTGGATGTCTTACATTAGAACATGCTGCATGCTAGCATGGTCCCACCTTTCCATGCCATTCATGGTTGAAGTAACCCTGGCCTCTCTACAAATTAGTGAACTTTTTACTAGGCTGTTTACATGTAGATGGCAATGATAAGATGAGAATGCTGGTTACAGGCTAGTTGTCAGTATGCAGTAATATATAGATATTAAGACTATTGTGTTGTGTGTGTTTTTTTTTTTGTTTTTTTTACTTATTAAATGTTCTACAGAATTGAATTTTTTTTTTTCAAAGTTATAATTTTAAAAACAATTCTATGTTTACAGGCAAAGACAGAAGACAAATCACACCTTGGGTCACTTGACTGTCAGTTGCTTGGAGAGCAATTCTGCAAATGGTTCTATCAACTTCTTAACTCTCAGAACCCAATGCTAGGACATGAGAAGGGTGATTGGGGACCTCAGCACTTCTGGGAGAATGCGGTCTTGAAGTTTTCTTACAGCACAACAGAGGAAAACATGGAAGAGTACAATGGAGCCCAAATGACTAGTCTTCGTCTGCTTGCTCTCACACGAGAGGAAAGGCTAGTTTTTAATCCTAATGTAGATTCCAAAGGGTTAAAATGTGTGACATCCCCTCATGGACTAGTTGTTGTTGCAGTTGCTGGGACAATTCATAGAAACAATTTATGGCTTGGAATATTTGAACAAATATTTGGGCTCATTCGCTGTCCAATAGGTGAAAATTGGAAAATCCGGTTTGTTAATCTTAAAGTTTTTGGACAGAACACCACTGGCTCTGTGGACTCTCCTCCCATGCCTTCAATTCAATACAAAACAAACGAATTAGAAGTTTTTTACAGTTAAAACCTATTTTATCACAGTGTCCTCTAAATACCATATGATCATTTCCCATGAATGCTTTATACTCCTTAAACACATTTCTTACAGGAGAAAAGAAACGTTGTAATTAGTAATTTTAATTTAGAAAAGAATATTGACAAGAATGTCTGTCTTTTTGATTTCTTTGATAAATCATTTTGATGACCTTCACAGGGTGGATATGTATATTAAAGATAACCTTTAAAAACAAATGCATTGTTAAGTTTCATACATGTCATGGGACCTGCTGCATTTATATATAAAAATACACACTAATCGCATGTTTTATGTAAAGAAAACTTGTTTAAGAGTTTCAACAAAGGGGGAAATATTTGTTTTTATTACCTTTTTCATTGTTGGTTGAATGCTGTTCACATTGGTTGCTGTATACATCTGGCTTGCAAAGTTGAAAAACATCTGGTTACTTCATGAAGCAGATTGTGCCCTTGCAGACTCACTAGTCAATTATCAGCCGGTTAGGAATTCAATCACTTGTTTCTATTTATGCTGGCCTAGCCACACCTCCCTTGGCTGTAACTGACAAAGCCTGCATGGAAAAAAAAGTTTCGTTTTCAAGTAGATGTTAACTTGCTTTAAACATTTTCTCCTGCTCTGTAAATTAAACTTTAATCACACACGGGGCTGCTGCAGGATTTACTAGGTTATAAACCCACCATGAGATAAGAAACTCATAATTAAACAGTGTGCAATAAAGGAAGTTTAAATATTAGATCTCTCTCTTTACAGGAAGTGTTTAGGAAGACTGTGTGAGTGACATGCAGGGTTAAGCTTGCATAAACAATGATTTAAAGGACCACTATAGGCACCCAGACCACTTAAGCTTAATGAAGTGTTCTGGGTGCCAGGTCCAGCTAGGTTTAACCCTTTTTTCTATAAACATAGCAGTTTCAGAGAAACTGTTATGTTAATAATAGGGTTAATCCAGCCTCTAGTGGCTGTCTCATTGACAGCTGCTAGAGGCGCTTCCGTGCTTCTCACTGTGATTTTTACAGTGAAAAGACGCCAGCGTCCATAGGAAAGCATGGTGAATGCTTTCCTATGGACTGGCTGAATGCGCATTCAGCCGAGGAGGAGGAGAGTCCCCCACCCGGCGCTGGAGAAAGAGGTAAGTTTAACCCCTTCCAACCCCTAGAGCCTGGCGTGAGGTGGGCCCTGAGGGTGGGGGCACCCTCAGGGCACTATAGTGCCAGGAAAACGAGTATGTTTTCCTGGCACTATAGTGGTCCTCTAACTCTTAATTAGCTAACAATTGACCAGTGAGACTGCAGGGGCATGATCAATACGCCAAAACTACTCCATTAAGCTAAAGGTGGCTATAGTGTTGATTTAAATACCTCTGGGATTCCAGTGGTATAACCCAACCATCTATAATCCAGTAAAGTAAACACAAATTCTGGCTCTTCAAAATCATGATCCTTAGTGATTTTTTTTATTGATTTTAAAAAATGTTGGTAGTGCTTGTTGTTTGCCCTTATCTTCTAAATTGATACATTATTTGGATGTGTGTGGTTATTGTTCTGTTTTCCAAAATGTTTTATGAATATTGCACAAAACGAACAAACAACAGATTTACTAATTTTTGACCGTGTATTTCCACGAAACGAGTTGAACTCAAAATGTTTACGGTTACTTCCCAGGATTTTTATTATGTTGTGGTGTTTTTGTGTGATCAGAAAAATATGCACATTCGCAACACTATTGTGCAGCGGATTGCATCCATTTTTGCCCCTTGTAATTTATTATTAACTCTTCAGCCAGCATTGAGAGTGTGGATACAGAGAAAAAATTGGGGATACTTATCAAAGTACTGTGGGCTAAAAGGGGAGGGGTCACGAATGGAACTTGCCTGCTGGTTCCACTCTTTATCAATGGTTTTTGCCCCACATTTAGTACTTTGCACCATTTTGCACACACCTGTTTAATATATCTACCTCCAATGTTTTTTTTCTCCTACACTAGTGCCTGGCCTAAACTAAATTATGATGCCAATTGCTTAAAGGAACACTATAGTTAGGAATACAAACCTGCATTCCTAATGCTAAAATGCCACCTTTCCATGTCCCCCAACGTAATCGAGGAGGCATGGCTTCCTCTGCAATGGATCAATCTAATGCTCTATGTAGAGGAGCATTGGGGACCATATGTGTAGATGTAACAAGTGTTTTCATGTACATTCAAGTTTCGACATAAAGCATTGTATCAAGTGCTTTCCTACGGCTTCCGTGTCACTTCACAGAGTTTTGTTCCCTTCCTGTGTGCAGAGTGTGCTGGGAGGAAGTGAGAGCCTCCCAGCTTACTCAAACTGAGGCACAAGGGGGACGGACTGGAAGAGGAGCAAGCCCCATAACTCCCAACAACCTCAGCCAGCAGCAGCCACCTTTTGGAGGCTGGCTAAAATTTTGACCTGTAGTTGTGTTTTGGGTGTCTGTATCTGTATGTATAGTGTTTGTATCTATGTATGTGTGTCAGTGTATATACGTGTGTGTATCTGTATGTCAGTGTGGCATGTGTGTGTCAGTATGTGTACCTGTATGCCTGTGTCCGTGTATGTGCGTGTATCTATATGTGTCAGTATCTATATCTGTATGTGTGTCAGAGTATATATCTGAGTATCCTCATGTGTGTCAGTGTCTGTATATGTGTGTCTGTGTATCTACATGTGTGTTAGTGTATGTGTCTGTATATCTGCCTGTGTGTTAGTGTATCTGTATCTGTGTGTCTGTTTCTCTGCAGGTGTGGTAATGTTTGTATTTGTGAATGTACATGTGTGTCAGTGTATGTGACTGTATATATGACTGTGTGTTAGTGTATCTGTGTGTCTGTATATCTGCAGGTGTCATAATGTTTGTGTGTATCTGGGTATCTGCAGGTGTGGCAATGTGTGTTTCAGTCTATCTGGGCAACTGTATGTGTGCGGGTGTATCTGTCACAAACGTACCTGCGCCTGGCACCCACGCTGCTCCCCTCCTCCTCTCTCTTGTTATATCCTGCTATTGTCCTCGGCTTGTTTTTTTTGACTTGTGATTTCTGGTATCCTGACCTGGCTTCTTATTTGACTTGTGATTTCTGGTATCCTGACCTGGCTTTGTACATACTCTGTGTATATATATATATATATATATATATATATATATATATATATATAGCGTATGCCTGAAGTTGTGGGAGGGATTTAAGACCTATATAACCCCAGTAAACCCCTTGCTTACCTGTCTTCGTCGATTCCGGAAATTCCCCTCCCACCACACCCTCTTTTCATATCAATCTATCCAGGTGGGCCATCTTTTTTACAGGCCTAACCTCTCGTCAGTTTCGGCACACCTCAACCGACTCTTGTTTTATCAAAACTACACTTACTTTAAGTATATGCCCTTTCATAATCCCGTACACAAATATATATATACACACACACACACACACACACACACAATCAATTGGGGTTTTGCACTCCAGCCTCTCAGTGTTCCTTGTCAGGTGCTCAGCTGCACATTTTACACAGTGGTATACAAAGCCAGCACTCAAGATCTTCTTAGGATAAATATTTTAATCCAGAGATTAATCCAGGGGAAAAAACCAACACTCAATCTGGACACTTTGAAACCTTTATTATTGGGAAAGATAGGCAAAAAATGTCAGTCTCTTACGCATTTGTAGTGGTAGGGTAGGTGGTGCCCGGTGGACCCCAGATAAGAAGTCAAACCATTCAAAACCTGTTTGATTGCTTATAATGAGTGGGCGTCAGAATACTCCTGACACCATAACCACTGCACAATCCTTGAATGCTTGAGTAGCAACTGCATATACCAGGATCACAGTGCTCATATTTTCCACCTGGTAAGTGTGATTGGCTCAGGGAGAGTATAGAGCTGTTTTAAGGGTACATCAGATAGCAGGAGTGCACTCAAATATTTCTATAAGTCTGTAATAGAAATAATTCCCTTATTTAGGTCAAAGATTCTGTATGCATCTAATAGTTTGAAAGCCTACTCTGGTTTACACAAAACACAACAGTGATTCCTAAGTAGGAACTTCCCTTAGGTCAGGAAAACTAACAGAAGTTGCTTGTGTTGCAGAGATCCACAGCAATATATCTCAGTCCTACACTACTACTACTACAGCGAGCTGCATAATTTATTTTTTTGTATATGTAAGTGCAGTTAAAGGATCTTTCTTAGGACTACATTTATTAAAGTGTAATGTATATTAGGCTTGTGCATTCAGTTTCAAACAAATCGCAATATGTCGGATTTTTGGGCGATCAGCAGTGGCGTACACATAATCCATGGAGCCCCGGTGCAAAACTGATCCATGGGGCCCCACCGCCACCCCATACATAGATAGACACATAAACACATACACTCACATACATACAGACACACATACAGAAACATACATACAGAGACACACACATACACAGATACACACACACAGATACATAGACACACATACAGAGACACATACATAGACACATACATACAGAGACACATACATACAGACACACATACAGTTGCAAGAAAAAGTATGTGAACCCTTTGGAATGATATAGATTTCTGCACAAATTGGTCATAAAATGTGATCTGATCATCATCTAAGTCACAACAATAGACAATCACAGTCTGCTTAAACTAATAACACACAAAGAATGAAATGTTGCCATGTTTTTATTGAACACACCATGTAAACATTCACAGTGCAGGTGTAAAAAGTATGTGAACCCTTGGATTTAATAACTGGTTGAACCTCCTTTGGCAGCAATAACTTCAACCAAACATTTCCTGTAGTTGCAGATCAGACGTGCACAGGGCCGGACTGGGGATACAAAGCAGCCCTGGAAATAAAATGTGTGCCAGGCCCATAAGTCACTACGTCATGTATTGTCACATGTAATACATATAGCTATGTTGATACAAAAAAGGAAATGCTTACTATATGATACACTAGAAAAACACACCCTCAGAGAAGTGTACCTCACACACACACTATAAAGAATAAACACAAGGACGTATATATAAAAACCCAAAGGTGATATATACAAATAGAGGGTGGTTGGGAACAATACAACCTGGATATGGCTGAAAATGAACGTGGATTCCATACATATATGCCTTACATATTATTGGTATATATATATATATATATATATATATATATATATTTGTGCTCGGAATTTAAATACGTAATGGATAGTATCTGTGAGCAAAGTTGGTTGTGGTGTGCCGAAACCAACGTACGAGTGGGCCTGTAAATAAAAGAGGGCCCACCAAGGATAAAAACAGGGTATAGGTGGGTGGGGACAATCAGCTGAGCGGCAGCGGTGAGTAGGGGCTGGGAGTTTAAGTAGGGGACTTACTCCTCCCACAAATTCAGGACTAATGGCCTTTCTACTTGTGCTCGGAATTTAAATACGTAATGGATAGTATCTGTGAGCAAAGTTGGTTGTGGTGTGCCAAAACCAACGGACGAGTGGGCCTGTAAATAAAAGAGGGGAAAAGATAAATTCGAGAAAATACACACTTTATTGCATTTTACAAGACCAAGTTCCTGAAAGCTTGCGGAATATATGCGTTATATATGGAGGATTTCCATCGCCCCAGCCTTTTGATGATGTGGACCGGTGCGTTTGTGCTAGAGGCTGCTGAGGCGGCTCCTATGCGGAAGGAGTGCCCGGAGAATGCAGCCGGGTTGTGTCCGAGCTTAGATAACAGGGTTCTGACATGTAACATCAATTTTGCCGTGGTAAGCGGGTGCCCTTGTAATGTTAAGAGCGGAGAGTCTGGCAGGTGAGTGTGAAGAGTTGACCGTAGTTGGTCGAGAACTTTCACCGGACACCAGGCATTATCAGTAGGGAAGAGAGGAATTATTGTAGGGTGTAGTGACCGGTTGGTTTTAGTGGTAGGGATAGAAAGTAGGTAGTGATCCTCTATCTTGGTGAGGTGTGAAGTTTTAAGGCTTAGCGCGATATCTCCTTGACAAACCACGGTGAACTCTCTAGGTCTGAGAAAACCATAGAAAGCGAGATATATAGCAGATTTGATCACCGTATTGGTGTTGCTATCAAATGGGGCTGTGTCAAGGAGATTGCTAAGTGACCTGAAGATAGGCCCGTCTATGGGTAATCTAGTGCTTGCGAGTGGAGGTGAAACCTTTGATATACCTTTCAAGACCTTTTTAATGGGGTATGATGACAAAAAAGGAGTGCTGTTAGGAAAATTGGTGCTGTGGTGCTGAACCCCGGTGAGGTAAAGTTTAATGGTGTTGTGCGACAGATTAAGGTGTAGGTGGCAGAAAGAGGCAAAAGACACCATGGTTTGGATAGAAAAGTCACCTTGTAGCCAGAATTCTGCAGTGAATTTTTTAAATATGTTAAGTGCCCTATTGTAAGTGATAGCAGTGTTG